TCCAACATAACCAGAACTGCCAAGAGCACTATGAACTCGAGACACTAGAGCTTGTATACGGCATGAGACACAAGGTACAGAAAGAGCAGTCACTCGAGTGTAGCACAGTATGTTTATTCAAGTGTTTTTGCATGCAAGTCTATGCATACACATGGAATAAGATTAAGGTGAACAATCATGATAATAAACTATAAATAGTGAGCCAATTAAATCTCACAAAACATGCCAAAATTTTCATTTGTTGGCCAATAATATATGCATGATTGTATTATGAGAATTAAAGAATTCGATATTATCTCCTTTCTTACTAGTAAAAGCACAATTATGAAAAACAAAAATGCAACATATAAAATTATCTACTTTCTTCCCATATACCTATCATCCTAGAGAATGATTGCATGATCAAATGTACCTGCTCGAGAAGGCGAGTGCAATGCCTAACTACGTCTACTAGGTGCATTAACAACATTGATCATGGCACAATTATAACCAAAACTTTCTTCTTTTTCATTATGTTGATATCTACGAGTAGAAACTATGATCATATTCACAGAATCCTCAATAAATCCAGTAAATTATTACATTCAGTATCCAATTGGAAAAATAAAATCAACCAGTACATGGGTTGAAGTAATCTAAAAAACAGTGTAGGACTTAAACACATAGCTTAAAGACTCCAAGGTTTCCTTCAGACATCAACAATATAACCAAATCTCGACATCTGCATCTCATGCATCAGTAACGAAGCACTATATTTTCCTTGAGTACCATACAATTCCAGCTGTTCAGACTTAAAAACTAAAAAAAAATAAAAAAATTCTAGTAAGCTAATCATCGAAGACAAATTAATCATTGATGAATAAGACTTCAACATAGTTAAAAGTTGTAACAGCCCGGAAAAAATGGGAAAAAATTATAATTGTGTAAATTGGCGAAATTTGGGGGATTAAATTAAAAGTTTTCAAACTTGTAGCCTGTTTTAGAGTTTAAGGAAATTCAGGGACCAAGCCCTGAATTTACCCAAATAGTATCGGCAGGTTTTGGGTTATATATGCGTGCAAACCCGATCCCGACGCCGTCCGGCCTCCGATTGTCGATTTGAAACCAACATCGTGTTCATCATTGAGCGATGAACAAACCCCTTAAATCAATTGAAGTAAAACGCTGTCAAACGCCGTGAATTTCGATTCAAAGTTTCGACATTTTTTTAGTACCACCGCCGAGAAAATCTTCAATTCATCACCGATCGTTGCTCCGTTTTCGACACCTCCCGCACCATCGTGTTCCTTGTGTCGTTTTGAGTTCGCCAACATTCTCCTTGTCCCCGTCGACGGCGGCGCGTAAGGAAGGTGAAGCGATCAAAGTTTCGGATTTGTTGAAATCGAGCTTTGTAAGTGCCTTAAAATCGCTTAAAATAATTTTTAGAAAATTTTTCGTGATTTTTAGGACCTCGGAGACAGTCGCACGCTCCGCCACTGCGCGTGGAGGAGCTTCGAAAATTGGTTTAGTGCAGTTTTGACCGGTCCGAACAGGTTTGACCTGACCCGTTGACTGTTGATTGTCGTTGACCACCTTTAACCAGAACTTTGACTGGCGTTGACCGTCCATTAAACGGCCGTTGACTTTTTTCAGGTATACTTATTCTGACATTTTTCGACGTCCTGGATCTGTTTTTGGGGTCCGTTTTGCTAAATTCAAACCCAAAAGCCTCCAAATCGTCATTCAAACCCTTTGACTTTGACCAAAAATTCAAAATTTTGAAAGGTCGTATTTTATGTTTTTCGATGTCTTGAATCTAATTCCGAAGTCCATTTTGCTAAATTCTGACCCGAAATCCCTGAATCGAGCTTGTTAACCTAAAAATACTTAGTATTTTAGCATTTTTGATTATTTATTTGAGATATGGTTATGAAATTGATTCATTAAGATATTTTATGAAGGTACTCGTGTTTCACCTGAGCGAGGATCTGTTAGGTCCGGTGTTGTCCGTTCGTCAGATCAGCCTGAACCATGTACTACGAGAATTACCCGTAGGTTTCCGTAAATTATTTAAATAAAGATTAAGATTATTTATATTAGGATTCCAATATGGATTTTCTCGATTCATAGGATCTAGCGCTACAGCAGAGCGTGATCGACAGACCCAGTAATAGACTTCCCTATCCGATTTCTCAGACTATTACAAGTGTGTTTCCTGACGGTGTTACCTAATTGTTTTAAACTATTTATCTGAAATGTTCTACATTTTTTAAAAGACACTAAATATTTTATAAGACAATATATGATATCCGAAATACTGTTTATTTAATATATGAGTTACTGCATATTTCTGATATGATTAGTGGTTAAGGTATTTTGTACCTAATTTCTGAATATGGATTAATTATTGTTTTAACTTCAGTACATACATGTTTAGTATTGTCATTTGGGGTATTATTGAAGGAAGTATTTCAGGCTCTTTTGCTGTGTGTTAAGGGTAAGTCCTTACTGGTGTGCAGGTGGATGTATGGTTCTGAAGAATCTACACATTCTAGTGATTGGATGGGGTAGTTATTACCGTAGGCTCCTCAGCTTTGTGCTCAGGGTAAGCCTAACTGGTGTGCAGGTGGGTGTATGGTTCTGAAGAACCTACACATTCTAGTGATCGGAGTGATTGGATGAGAATAGTATTCATGTTTTAAAAATATGTTTGATAAACCGATTTGATTGAAATATTTTATATGTATGTTTATTTTTTCACTTTATGGAGCACACTGAGCTTTTTAGTTCATTTTGTGAACTTTACCCTTTTCAGATAACAGCAGATCGTAAACTAGTAGATTTGACATCAGGGGAGATCAACTACTTTTACTTTGTACAAACATATATTTCTATTTATTTTCCAGTTGTATTTGGTGACATGTATTTTGCTATTGTTTTGGATATATCTGTATTATCGATATTTTGTTCCGTATTACCTTTAATGTTTTATAAGTTGTTTTAAATATAAAAATAATCTCTGAATGGGATATACAACCGCTTAGATTTGGGTCTAACGTTCAGGCCGAGTTTAGGGTTACAAAAGTATAAACCCAGATCAGCATTCATGATCAATTTACTAAAAATCATGAAAATTCATTAATTTCATTACGAATAAAAGAAAAAGTGAGAGATAGTTACCAGTTTCGATGCGTTATTCAGCGTAACTATTTTAGGAGGCCCAGGTTTCTTTGGCGTTTCCGTGGTCATTGGTCTGTGGTACAAGGACTTGGTGGCGGTACTTCAAAATGACAGTGGAGGAGTTCGGTCGGCGCCGGCAATAGGCAGCTTGAATTCCAATTTCTTACAAGTTTTTAGCCCAAAAACGAACAGTAACAGTAACTATGTCTTCGTCTTCTACTGGGTTTTCTTTTCTTCTATCATAGGGTATATATATTTTGGTACTTGAATTTGGCTTCAATATTCAATCTGGTACTTAAACATTTCTTTTATCCAATTAGGTACTTACAGTTCTGAGCAATAATATTGAAAAATCGATTCAAACAGACTGTATAAGTTGGATTTTCACTTTACGATTTGGTTTCGTGTCGGTCAAGCTACTCAAATCTTCATTATTTGGTTCAGATTTTTTACATGAATCTCATTTGTTCTAAATCAAATCGAGTTAAGAAAAATAATGATGGAAATCAAACTCAAAGTCATTCGTTTAGCTCAATTTTATCACAAGACAAACTTAAATAAACAAAACCCTAAAATTAATAATGGTAATTTTGTCAATTTAAATTTTTGTATCTTTGTTTGGTTCATGCTCGAAATTTGTTGAACTTATCAAGCGATTTAAATGGTAAAATGAAATCTTATTCTTTCAAAAAGTCTCGAATTCGAACAATTACGTCTACAGAGTGTATGTCTTATCAATAATTAAAAAAAATCATAAACAAATATTACATTATATTTATTCTACACTATTTGAGTGAATACACCCCGATGTATTTGAACTTGGCTAATCTGTTCAAGTTGGTACAAGACTCGAGTTTTTATTTCAAATTGGTATTTACAATTTTCAATTAATTTTAATAAAGTCAAGTTCATATACTAATTTGAACAAAAAAAGTCAAATTCAAGTATTTAATTGAATAAACGAATTTAAGTATTAAATTGAGCATTGAAGTTAAATTTAGATACTAAAATATAATATTAACCTAAAATTCCATTGATAAAATAATTTAATTATCTTTGAGTCAGTCTTAAAAATAACTAATGTGATTTAGTCATTGCCATGTAGGGATGACAGAATGACCCAAACCCGACGGGGAAACCCGGAACCCGGTCAAATTTAGGTCGGGTCGGGTTTGAATGATATCGGGTCGGGTTGGGTATTGGGGATTTTTTCGGGTCGGGTTCGGGGACGGGGCAAGGTATCCCCGCCCCGCCCCGATTATATATATATATAATATTTTATATTATTTATATTAATCATATATATAATATTTTATATTTTTATATTAATTATATATATAATATTTTAAGGTTTGTGTATAATATTTCGGGTCGGGTTCGGGGACGGGGCAAAAAGAATCCCCGAAGGGGCGCCCCGATAAAAACTCGTCAGGGATCGGGTCGGGGTCAGAGATGGGGATTCATTTTAGGTTCGGGGATGGGGAGAGCAAAACCCGCCCCGTTGCCATTCCTATCCATGAAGAGCCAACTATGGGACAAACAACTTTTCTTTCTCCATTGCTAGGCAAAAAGAACTAGTGTTACAGTCAACAAAAAAAAAAACAATATTTCACCAATAATATCAACATTAAATCATTATATATATATATATATATATATATATATATATATATTCCTTTTAAAAGACACAAGGTAGAAAAGAATTGTGAATTCTATTCCTCTGACCTGCCAAAAACAACAGCTAGTTCCAAAATCAGAATGAGTTAACAAGGTTGGAAGGGAAGCTGTTAACATCATTAGCAAATTACTCAAAACTCGAGGTTTTGGACATCGAAAACAATATGTTTTATGATACATTTCCGGTCTGGTTGGCGAAGTTGTTGTCCTTGAAGGTTCTCATTCTACGAGCAAATATGTTTTATGGTACAATTACAGAATTCAACACAGAAAATGGTTTTCCGAAGCTACGTATTTTGGACATTTCTTCCAACAATTTTTCAGGTGAATTGTCCGTTCAATTTCTGCAGAGTTTGAAGGCGATGATGCAGATAGCTAATGAAGACAAAGCTAAGATAAAGTACATCGGAGAGGGTTACCGTCTAGACTCTGTTACAATTTTCAACAAAGGGATTGAAATGTTCTACAGAGAGTCTTGACTATTCTTACTTGTCTTGATCTTTCCAATAACAGTTTTCATGGGAGAATACCAGAAGAAATAAAAATTCTCAGGTCACTCAAGGTGCTAAATTTGTCCCATAACAGCTTCTCCGGCCAAATCCCATCAGCATTCGACAACCTAAAAGACCTCGGGTCTTTGGATCTCTCGGTGAACAAACAATCGGGGAAGATTCCTCCACAGCTTACAAGTCTAATTTCCTGGAGCCACTGGACTTGTCTTGCAACCAACTTAACGGGAACATACCACAAAGCTACCAATTCAATACGTTGTCAAATGATTCTTACCGACTTACCGTGGGAACCTAAAATTATGCGGGCCGCAGTTGTCGATGAAATGCGACGAAGTCGGTCCTCCAATGCCACCTCCTGTGGGGAAAGATGAAGAGGATTCATGGTTAGATGTTATGTCTACTTGGCAAATTGCTTTGATAGGCTACGCTAGTGGTTTGGTCACGGGGCTATGCATTGGATATACAGTGCTAAATAAGTTGGGAAACAAATGGGTTTACAAGTTGAAAAGGTATGGGAGTATAAATAGGAGATCAAGGTGATATCTGGTTATGTTAATTTCAAATAACTGACCCAATTAAGCCACCAAGTCTCTAATATCATGGCATGACCGGTTCTACTTTAGAGGGTCTTTGAGATGCATCTTTAATATAGTTTGCAATGATATAAATATTCATTTTGTTTTCGTCCAGCTTCATGTATTTTTTTATTGATCCAGTCTAGGGGAAATGATTACGTACGGCAGCCTTAATATACGGTTAAAAAAAGGTGCTACCGGTTTTGTTATTATTTAAATAACAAAACTGGTAAAAAATTATCGGAAATATTATTATTTCTATCGGTTTTGTTATTGTTGGGCACTTTATCAGAAATGTTAAAAAACATTGATGTTTTAGGTAGAAATAATAATGTTTTAGGTATTTTTTTACCGGTTTTGTTATTTAAATAATAACAAAACCGATAATGCCTTTTTTTAGTTGTACATTAAGGGTGTCGCGCTGTAGAACTTTCCTCTAGATTAATCCGAATGTTAGACAAAATGTTATGGCGACTTAAAAATGATGGTTTTGTTAGACAAAATGTTAATCCGAATGATAAAATACTAAATAAAGATTATTATTGTATCCAATGAAACAAAATAAATATAAAATTAAGATTAACAAACAAAATTGTTTACTCGTATGTAGATGTGAAACCGAATGAGCAGAGCCAGGTAAACATAAGAAGAATTTTTTATAGAGGCGTGTACGAACAATTTCCTTAAGATATATTCGTCATCTCGTTGGTGCTTTAACTAACATGATACAACAAAAAATGATCACATCAGTAAACACAACGATAATGAACAGTCAAACACAAATTTGCATTTCTTTATCACTTGGAAGAACGAATTTAGAATGAATTTTTTAAGTTTTTTCCTATACCAAAGTTGTGTCTAAATTGTGTATAACTAGTCTTTATGTAGTGGAGAGAAAATGGATTAAAATGTTAAAATCATTTGAAGAGGAGATTTGACCAAAAAATTGTTGAATGTAAGATTTCGAGGGAAAGATTCAATCGTGATTGGAACAAAAATAAATTTAATCTATCCTCGAATTTTTCTAAAATCTCATGCATATCATACTAACTACGAGAAAGACAGATATGATATTACCTTAATAACAAAATGTAAAGTTTGTGTAATAAAAATTTTCACTAAACTAACAACCTTTATAAGAATTTTTTTATTAATATAGTGAGTTAAGATCCATATTTCACTCAACTTTAGATCACCTCTAGTATATTTTAAACACATTTCATGTTAGATTTGAGTTGGCATTTAATGCCCTAATTAATGGTTAGGCTGACTAAAGGGCCTAATTGATATAATATTAATATTTTAAGAATTCAATTAAAATATTAAAAAAAATTCAAATACAAGCTTTGGGAAACTAAGAAATAATTAAGCTGGTCATCATCAAGAAGTTTTGTCATCATATAGATGATTTTGTGCTTTCTTTCTTGTTTTTCATGGGGGAAAATCGTACTTTATGTTCCATATTCTAGCTTGATTAGTTTTCAAGAAATATTTTTTATTTGTACATATTTCGATTAGCTGTCACCAGCAGCTACACCTATTGTCTACACCTATTTGTAAAGATTGGGAAAGAAGACATTGACATTTCCATGCGATGCCAAAGACCAAGACTATGGCATAAATATGTTGTATTTGAAACAATCTTTCTTCATAGCCATAGCCAGTAGACATGAAGGCTCTTCCTTTCCTAGTTTCAATCTTCTTTCTGTTTTCATGCTTCCTTTCTCTTGTGTTTTCCTTGGATGATCTCCCAAAGAAATGCCTTGATGACCAGAGATCTTCTCTGTTGCAACTGCAGCATGATCTTTTCAATGCCCCAAATTTTGCTTTCTCTTCCAAGTTTGAGCTTTGGGATCTCAACGCTGATTGTTGTTTTTGGGAGGGAGTTACCTGTGATGCTCTTGGTCATGTCATTGGGCTTGATCTTAGTCACAACAACATTTCAGGCACCTTCCACTCCATTTTCGATCTCCGTCATCTTCATCACCTTAACCTTGCTGGAAACAACTTTAACACCACTCTGCTTTCGTATGGGTTTGATAAACTCCAAAATCTAACTCATCTCAACCTTTCAAACTCATGTTTCCACGGCCAAATTCCAGTGAAGATCTCTTCCTTAACGAGGTTAGTATCTCTTGATCTCTCTAATCAAGGTGATTGCTATTGGAGATATTATCAGTTTCTTTACCCACACAGTGGCATCTACTCATCTGTTCCAGTGCCTTATGAACTTGAACGACCTCTGAAACTAGAGAAACCAAACTTCAAGACATTGATAAAGAATTTGAGGAATCTAACGGAGCTCTACTTGGATGGAGTGGATTTTTCATTTCAAAGTAATAAGTGGTGCAAAACCACATCTTTAGTACTTTCCAAGCTTCAAGTGTTGAGTCTGTCGAACTGTGGTTTAGAGGGTCCATTATGTTCTTCACTTTCAAGACTTTCTTTCCTTTCCAAACTCTTCCTTGGTGGGAACCTAATCTCTTCTTTACCTCCCAATTTCTTGGAAATCTCCTCTCGCCTGGTTTCTCTTAGCTTAGCGGATTGCAGTCTGAGTGGGCATTTTCCTACAGAAATTCTCTTATTGCCAAAAATCCAAAGCATTGACATTTCAAACAATGGCGAACTTATGGGTCAGTTGCCAGAATTTCCATCAAACATTGCTTTACGGATTTTATCTCTTTCTGATACAAATTTCAGTGGGAAACTACCTGAATCAATAGGTAAGCTTAAGTTCTTGACAGTTTTAACTCTTAGTCGTTGTAATTTTTTGGGATCCATTCCATCATCAATTGCAAATCTTAGTCACCTGGTTAACCTGGATCTATCACATAACAATCTCAGTGGTTTAGTCCCTCCATTTCATAGATTTGGAGTCCCAAATCTTGCTTCTCTCTATTTGGGTGGGAACAAGCTTTCTGGATCAATAAGTTCTTCTGTATTTACCCTTCCATCATTACAGGTTCTATCTCTCGAAGATAATAATTTAGATGGAAAAATTCATGACTTCCCCAATGCATCATCATCATTGATTGAGGAACTAAATCTAGGCAGTAATCATTTAACAGGACCAATCCCGAAATCGATCTTTCAACTTCCAAGGCTTGAACGGCTTTTCATTGGAGACAATAGCTTTAGTTCCATGAACCTTTCCTTGCTTTTCCAAATTAAGAATTTAAGGGCTCTCGACCTATCCGATATAAGCTTGTTAATTGAAAGCAGCAACAGAAGTATTAATTTTCCCCAATTAGAGAGCCTATGGCTAAGCTCATGCAACCTCACTGAATTTCCAGGATTCATCAAAACACAAGATAAGTTGTTTGAGCTAGATCTTTCTAACAACCACATCCATGGTGTTGTGCCTAATTGGCTGTGGAAGACCACTCTTTTATCCTTAGATCTTTCTTTCAATCCTATCCATTTTCCAAAACAGCTCCCATTAAGTGATGCAAACTTGTCTTTTCCAATGCTGATTCAATTATTTCTGGGATCATGTAACTTAAGTGCATTTCCAGAGTTCTTAAGTAGTCAAGAAAACTTAGAAGCACTCGACCTTTCGAATAACGGTATAAGTGGTGCAATACCAAAGTGGGTGTGGAAGAGAAGTTTGTATGACCTGAATCTTGCTAATAACCATCTCTCATCTTTGGACCAACTTTTATCGAACCAGAATTTAACTTCTTTGCAGGCCTCTTTTCTTCGACCTATTTGTGATATGAGTCGACTATCCTTTTTCGATGCATCTCATAACAATTTGAGTGGTCCCATTCCAAATTGCTTAGGCAATATGAGTGAACTCCTTTATTTGGATCTTCATGGAAATAACTTCAGTGGAATCTTACCAGATTTTGCAAAATCACCCTATTTGTCGATACTCAAAGTTAGCGAGAATAGACTGGAAGGAAAGTTGCCCAGATCATTGTCAGAATGTATTCAACTTCAAGTCTTGGATGTGGGAAACAACATGTTGCGTGATACATTCCCTTTTTGGTTGCAGAAACTGCGTCTGTTGAATGTTCTAATATTGCGGGAAAATAGATTTCATGGTGAAATGAAACATTTCAAACATAAAATCGTTTTCCCGACTTTGGATGTGTTGGATATTGCTTCTAACGAGATTTCTGGTGAACTACCCGTTGATTACTTTCGAGCCAGTCTGCTAAGGTCGCTCAAAATCAGCGGGAATAAATTTGAAGGAAAGCTGCCAAGATCATTAGCCACTTGCTCGAAACTTGAAGTTTTGGACCTTGGAAACAATATGATTCATGATACATTCCCAATCTGGTTGATGAAGTTGCCTTCCTTGAAGGTTCTAATTCTCCGAGAGAACAAATTTCATGGTACAATTGATGACTTTGACACAGGACAAGGTTTTCGAAACCTACGCATACTGGACATTGCTTCCAACAATTTTTCTGGTGACTTATCCACTGAATTTTTGCAATGTTTGAAGGCAATGATGCAGATGAGTAATGGCAACAAAGCTGAGTTGGAGTACATTGGAGGGCATTACAGCGGAGGGCAGTACTATGAAGACTCTGTAACAATTGTCAACAAAGGGGTTGAAATATTTTACCAGAAGGTTTTGACCATTCTTACTTGTCTTGACCTTTCCAACAATAGTTTCCATGGGAGAATACCCGAAGACATACATATTCTGAGGTCACTCAAAGTGCTAAACTTGTCCCATAATAGCTTCTCTGGCGAAATCCCATCAGCACTTGACAACCTAAAAGAGCTCGAGTCTTTGGATCTCTCAATGAACAACCTGTCAGGTAAGATTCCTCCACAGCTCACAGGTCTAACTTTCCTGGCAGCGTTGAACTTGTCGTACAACCAACTTGAAGGGAGCATACCACAAAGCAACCAATTCATTACATTTTCAAACGGCTCTTACATTGGGAATCCAAAGTTATGTGGGCCGCCATTGTCAAGGAAATGCAAGGAAGTTGGTCTCCCAATGTCACCACCTCCTTCAGGGGAAAAGGAAGAAGATTCATGGTTAGATGCAATGTCTACTTGGCAAATTGCTTTGACAAGCTATGCTAGTTGTTTGGTGGCAGGGATATGTATTGGATTTACGGTGCTGAACGAGTTGGGAAACAGATGGGTTTACAAGTTCAGAAAGCATGGGAAAAGAAGCAAAAGAAAATTCATATTTCAGAATCAGCCGTAAGCATTTCCTTTAGAAACTATGACCTTTCTAATTTGAAAAGATAGTTGTTACAAACTATGATAAACACATTTTTAATTTTCTTATCTCTTTTTCTCGATCTTGACAGTTAGGAGGTACTTGAAGCAGTCCAAGCTCAAGCGAAGATTGTTCGTCATCGATTACATGGAGTATGAAGAGCAGACCACAAGATTTTGACACCCAATGAAGAGGATTACAAAATGATATTTGTTTAAAAAGAGAACGGGGAAGAGAAGATTGAAAATGGAGTTTCTTATTCTTTCTTTCTTGGTGTCTAATTAAGGAACAATGAACAAAGAAAAGAAAATGAATTTTCCTATTGTTTGTGGACGATTCAAGTAAATCCTTTGTGTAATATATTCTCTACGCACGCATTGCTCTATTGTAGAAACTAATCCATAAATCCAAGATTGCTTCTTGTCGATATGGTTGCAAGGCCCAAACCCCTAGGGTCGATATTTTTTTTGGCCATATAAGTAACTTCTTCGCATGGTTCTGCCTAGGAGGGAGTAGGTTGGCAGCATCTTTTTCATGTTTAGCTGCAACCACTGGTCTCCGAGGCCTATTCTACAGGGGGCTTTAAGATGAGCGCTAATTGAAGCATCCTAAGCCGTTTTGTAAAACCGCAATGCCTTGATAATCTCGTATCAAGCCTGCTTCTTCTATTTTCACTGCCGAACCAGGTAACTTTCTTACCAGACATAGGAAATCAACCAGATTACAATGATCTATGAATTCATTAAACTCCGAACTCCCTTCCCCTATCCCTGAACAATCACTCCTCTCACTTCTACATCTCGTGACATTGAAAACCCTCCCGCTGTCCAGAACACAGGATTAGCTTTCTTCAAGTCAAGCAAATCATTCCATAAAACCTTGTTTTCTATTAATACACGGGGGGCATAAACGTTTATTATTGCAGCTAATGTATTACTTTGTAACCTGCAACTTCTGAAGAAATTTTATCCTCATCTTGACCCAGATTGACCCTGTCTACCCCTAAGCCCATATCACGGATGTCATCCCTCGCTCTTGAAGAAGTTTTTGGGCTAAACTCATGCATAGCTGAAGGACTAGAATTCTAAGCTCCTGATTATCTAGAGACTGTCTAACACTGATATTTTCCTGGAAACTCTCTTCCACCTCCTCAACTTCATTCTCCGATAAAATTCTAACCTCCTCATTGATATCCAATGAGCTGTCCTTGAGCCTCGTACCCACCAAATCCTTCTCACCTAAATCCCTTCCAGATATCCTGTTTTCCGGAGAACAACTATCATTATTCACCTTCTCCCCATACATAGCATTTAAAGTCTCTTCTTCAATTGTTTGAAAACTCCAATCTTCCTCCGGCGCCTCAAGTTTTGAACTTTTAGACGACGATTCAGAGTGGCTTAATACCTCCTCAATATTCTTGACCTGAGAATGCTTTAGATTTGATGAAACTGGTCGATCTTGACGATCTGAGAACCCCAGCTCCTCAACTCGCACCTCAAAAACCATATCACCAGCTTCTATTTCAACCGACTCAGAGATCTTCTTTGCCACATTTGTAGTAATCAAGATAGAAATTTTTTCACAGTCCAAAATATGATGCGCATTCTCACCAAGAGCTTCAAAAGATCCCCATTTGATGCAGAATCTTTATCTAGTACTCAACTTTCATGATGATAGTGATATAGACACGGATCATGGTTATCATAGCCTTCTTTAATATGCTATTTACCTTTATTCCAAACTTTTTTATTATTAGAATGTTTTATGAACCTGAGAAGAAAATTGCTGGGTTGATATTTATGAAAGCCACATTTGTCGGAATGATTCGACTCCACTTCCAGGTTGCCGGAATGTACCTTGTTCTTGGGTAGGCAATACCGGAAGTGCTTGCTCATACATGGATATCTTTCGGAGTTTCAAAACTACAGACATTTGAAGACATATGAAGATGGACATGCTAAGAGGGTTTGGTGGACGAAGCATGTGTGCTTTAATATATTACTACTTGTTCAATATCCCGAACATGTGTTCCTGAAGTTCACAGCCACGAACCAACAAAGGTTCAATGGACGAAGCAAAGCATGTGTTCTTATAAGCATTTTTTTCAGCTCTAGTAGCATTCTCAGCTGGTTTTCATGGTAAGTTTCGTCCAAGACATAATTCTTTCTTTCGTATTTGAGAATAATTCTCAAGTTTTGATACCAATCAAGGAAGTTAGTCTCAGTAAATTTGTCATTCTCAATGACCGATCGCAGCGACATAATAGAATTATTATTATTGTCGACAATCTACAATAAAATACAAAGTTAAATAAGAAATTTTGATTCATAAAATTCTCACTAAATTGACAAACTTCATAAGAAAGTTCTTATTAATATAATGAGCTAAGATCCGTATTTCACTCAAAGTCAACTTTGGCATCTTTTAAATACATTTCATGTTAGATTTGAGTTGGCATTAATACCCTAATTAACATAATATTAATTAATATTTTAAAGATTTAATTAAAATATTTTAAAATTTCAATAAATTAACTTAATTTTAAACGAAATCAAAACTTGCTAATAAAATCTTGGGAACAAAGAGATTAAAGAATTTCTGGGTAACTTGCAGCAAAGTAAAGCAAAAATATATAATTAAACTGGTCACCATCAAGAAGTTTTGTCGTTCATATATATGATTTTGTGCTTTCTTTCTTGTTTTTCATGGGGGAAATGGTGCTTTATGTTCCATATTCTAGCTTGATTCCTTTTCGAGTTACATCCAAATGTGTAATCAAAATATTTATTTTATTTGTACATTTTTGGAATAGCTGTCACCAGCAGATACACCTATTGTCTGTACAAATCCAAACTTTTCTTTGAATTATTTGTTGGTAGATTGACCAAATAATATATTAGAGAAATGACAAGTTATAACCCTGTCCCTTTGTCTTGAACATCACCTTGGGATTATTGCAGTGTTGGTCTGAAATTGTATTAACAATTATAATATCATCAAAATTTCCACTCCTTGTGTCCAATCTATCACAGACAGAGACAGCTAAACATAGTGGTAAGGCATTATTCTCATGCAGTAAAGATTGGGAAAGAAGGCTTTGACATTTCCATGCAATGCCAAAGAATAAATATGTTGTACTTGAAACAATTTTCCTTCACAGCCATAACCAGAAAACATGAAGGCTTTTCCTTTCCTAGTTTCACTCTTCTTTCTCAGTTCATGCTTCATTTCTCTTGTGTTTTCCTTGGATGAACAATCTTCTATGTTGCAACTGCAGCGTGATCTTTACTATGTTGTGAAATTCGGGTTAATTTCCACCAATAACAGATTCACCGTGAAAACTATTATCTAGGTGACTAGTGTGAAAACGATTGTACTAAAAATCACCCCAAGGTAGATTCCCAGGAAAGAGGAGGGGTCACAATGGTCCCTCTTAAAACCCACTTTCCTTAGACAGAACTACCAAGACAAGTAATTTTAATAGGACAATAATTGACAACAACTATACCCGACAATAGCTATTAAATAGACATAAAAGAGAACACCAAAATATTTCACTAATAGAGGAAATATTACAAAGAGAGAAAGAATACAAATAGCCTTTAAAATAGAAGAAGGCTTATATTTGTGGGATGATTAACTAAGGAGGAGGAGGGCTTTATTTATAACAAAAGAATTTCCCCTCCTCCTTATACACAACCAATGTGGGACTTTTGCCAAAAACCAACAAATCTCCACCTTGGCAAATTCCACACACATCTCTAAAAAACAATCTTTTAATTTGTAACAATATTGACCAAATCTAAACAATGTTTAAACTTGACCGCAGTTACCACTTTTGTCAACATATCAGCAGGATTCTCAGTGGTCCGAATCTTCTGGATTATGACTCCACCTTCTTCTAGAATCTCTCGTACAAAGTGATATCGAACATCAATATGCTTCGTCCTTGCATGGTAAACCTGGTTCTTTGCTAAATGAATAGCACTCTGACTGTCACAGTGCACTTTGATGTGCTTTTGTTCTATTCCCAATTCACCAAGCAACCCTTGAAGCCAAATTGCCTCCTTCACAGCCTCTGTAACTGCCATATACTCTGCCTCTGTAGTAGACAAAGCCACTGTTGACTGTAAGGTGGACTTCCAACTGACTGGTGCCTTTGCAAATGTAAACACATAACCAGTAGTTGATCGACGCTTGTCCAAATCACCTGCATAGTCTGAATCACAATACCCAACTACACACTGACCATCTTGTTTGTCCTGCTGAAAGACCAAACCAACATCTACGGTGTTTAGAATATACCGCAGAATCCATTTCACAGCTTGCCAATGCTCCTTTCCAGGATCATGCATATACCTGCTCACAACCCCAATTGCCTGTGAAATATCGGGTCTCGTACACACCATTGCATACATCAAGCTACCAACAGCACTTGCATACGGAACCTTTGACATGTATTCCCGTTCTGCATCATCCTTAGGTGACATGGATGCACCGAGCTTGAAATGAGGAGCAAGAGGTGTACTAACTGGTTTTGACATCTCATTTATGCCAAAACGTTTTAGTACCTTCCTCAGATATTCTTTCTGAGACAAACAAAGCCTCCCCAATTTCTTATCCCTTGATATCTCCATGCCTAGAATCTTCTTCGCTTCACCAAGATCCTTCATCTCAAACTCCCTGTTCAATTGAGTCTTTAGTTTCGCAATTTCTGTCTGACTCCTGGAAGCTATCAGCATATCATCAACATAAAGAAGAAGATATATATAGGATCCGTCTTCTAGCTCACGTAAATACACACAATGATCATATTTGCTTCTTGTGTACTTCTGCCCTATCATAAACTTGTCAAATCGCTTGTACCACTGCCTTGGAGATTGCTTCAATCCGTACAACGATTTTTCTAATTTGCACACCATCTCTTCTTTTTCAGCAACTTTGAATCCATCTGGCTGAGTCATGTAGATTTCCTCATCCAAGTCTCCATGTAAAAATGCAGTTTTTACATCCATCTGAACTAGTTCCAAATCCAACTGCGCTACCAAAGCCAACAAAATTCTGATGGAGGAATGTTTTACAACTGGAGAAAATACTTCATTATAATCAACTCCCTCCGTTTGAGCGTAGCCTTTAGCCACCAATCTTGCTTTGTAGCGGATGTTATTCTTGTCAGGAAATCCATCTTTCTTTGCATATACCCACTTGCACCCAATTGCCTTCTTTCCCTTCGGAAGACTAGCTAGTTTCCACGTCTGATTCTTTTGAAGGGATTGCATTTCTTCATTCATGGCAATCCTCCACTTTTTATGTTCTGAACTTTGAACTGCTTCATTAAAAGTGGCAGGAACGTCATCAATTGCAATTGGTGATGCAAAAGAGACCATATCAGCATAACGAGCAGGTTGTCTAATGGTCCTCTTTCCCTTTCTGAGTGCAATTGATTCATGTTGCTGTGGAGGTTCTTGGGTCTGAACCTCTTCTTCATCTGACTCTTCTTCTACCATAGGAGAGTCAACATCATTTTCTTTACTGGTTGGGACAAATTTGCTTCCTTCAAACTCCACCTTTTTGGGAGTTCCATCTGTCTGCTCCAATTTTCTGAAGTCACCTTTCTCAACATGGTAGATTCATCAAAGGTAACATCCCTGCTGAAGATTATTTTCTTTGTTTCTGGACACCAAAGACGATAGCCTTTCACACCAGAGGTGATCCCCATAAAAATCGCCTTCTTTGCTCTTGGATCCAGCTTTGACTCCTTAACATGGTAGTATGCAGTGGAACCAAACACATGTAAGGAATCATAATCTGTAGCAGGTACTCCAAACCATTTCTCTAATGGTGTTTTACCACCAATAGCAGTCGATGGTAAGCGGTTGACAAGGTGACAAGCATAGACCAAAGCCTCAGCCCAAAATTCTTTGCCTAACCCAGCATTAGACAACATACACCGAACCTTCTCCACTAATGTCCGGTTCATACGCTCTGCCACTCCATTCTGTTGTGGTGTACCTCTGACAGTGAAGTGCCTAACAATACCTTCCTCTTCACAGACTTTCAGAAATGGATCATTTTTGTACTCTCCACCATTGTCTGTACGGAGACGTTTGATTTTTCTGCCTGTTTGAGTCTCCATCATCTTTTTCCATTTAAGGAAAAATCCTAGCACCTCATCCTTTGTCTTCATTGGATACACCCAAACTCTCCGGGAAAAATCATCAACAAAGGTGACATAATAGTGTGTTCCTCCCAATGAAGTTGTCTTGGAAGGCCCCCATACATCTGAATGAACATAATCCAAAATACCTTTAGTATCATGGATTGCTGTTCCAAATTTCACCCTCGTCTTCTTCCCTTTGATGCAATGCTCACAAAAAGCTAATTTGCAAGCCCGAGCACCCTTCAATAATCCTTGATCTATCAGTAATTTCAAGGATTTTTCACCAACATGCCCCAAGCGCATATGCCATAACCTGGTTGCTTCTGACTCCTGTTCATCAGTAGAAGCTGCCACTGCTGCTGTCCCAACAATTGTACTACCCAGAAAGTAATACACATTGTTTCTTTTTCGGATTCCCTTCATTATCACCAGTGCACCAGAGATAATCCTCATAATCCCATCTTTTGCCCTCACTTCTAAACCTTTTGACTCTAAGGTTCCCACAGAGATGAGATTTCTCATTAAATCTGGTACATAATGGACACCTGTTAAGGTTCTGATTGATCCATCCTGATTCCTCAAGCGAATTGAACCAATCCCAAGTGTGTCAAGAGGGGAATTATTTGCTGTGTAGACAATTCCACCTTTTAGTTCTTTAAAATCAAAGAACCATTCTCTATTGGGGGTCATATGGTGGCTACAAGCTGAATCTAACAGCCATGAACTGGAACAGCTGGTTGATGGCGTAGCAGCGAATGCGAAATCTGAATCTCCATCATCATACTCGACCACATTTGATTCTGAGACAGCCTTCCCCCTTTCAGGTTTGCCTTTATTCTTTAGCTTGGGACATTCTTTCTTCCAGTGCCCTTTTTCTCGACAAAAAGCACATTCATCTTTGCTCAATCTGGACTTTGACTTCGATCTCCCTCTGCTTCCTTTATTCTGACTCTTGGAACGGCCTCTAACAACAAGAGCTTCTGCTTCGACACTTGTGTTTTCTTGTTTGTCTTTCTTTCTCAATTCATAACTATACAAGGCAGCAGTTACTTCACTGAGAGACACATCAACCTTCCCATGAAGTAGAGTAGTTTCAAGATACTCAAACTCATCAGGAAGTGATCCCATCAACATCAGAGCCAGATCTTCGTCTTCAAAAGTCACGTCCATATTCATCAGATCAGTCACCAGCTGATTAAAGCTAGTAATGTGATCATTCATAGTGGTACCTGGTACATAGTTGAAGCGGAACAGTCTCTTTTTCATGTAGAGTTTGTTCTGACCGCTTTTCTTCAAAAATTTCTCCTCCAGTGCCTTCCACAATTTACTTGCAGAAGTTTCCTTAGAAAATGCATACTTCTGCTCTCTAGAAAGACACGATCGAATAGTACCACATGCCATTCTATTGATCCTCTTCCATTCTTTCTCCTCAACATCATCTGGTTTCTCTCCTTCAATAGCAATGTCTAGACCCTGCTGAAATAGGGCATCTAGAACCTCGCTTTGCCACATGCCGAAATGACCGGTGCCATCAAAAATCTCCACTGCAAATCTAACATTTGTCACAGCATTTCTTGCCAAAATTGAAGATGAAGAAGCGTCTGCCATTTCTGCTACAAATTCTATTTAATAGCTGCCAATGCAGAATGTCAATTATCCCAAGGAAATTTTTCTGATGTGGAAGATCAGCCTAAGCCGCAACCACAGAGCATACTAAAATAAACCAAGAGCTCTGATACCAATTGTTGTGAAATTCGGGTTAATTTCCACCAATAACAGATTCACCGTGAAAACTATTATCTAGGTGACTAGTGTGAAAACGATTGTACTAAAAATCACCCCAAGGTAGATTCCCAGGAAAGAGGAGGGGTCACAATGGTCCCTCTTAAAACCCACTTTCCTTAGACAGAACTACCAAGACAAGTAATTTTAATAGGACAATAATTGACAACAACTATACCCGACAATAGCTATTAAATAGACATAAAAGAGAACACCAAAATATTTCACTAATAGAGGAAATATTACAAAGAGAGAAAGAATACAAATAGCCTTTAAAATAGAAGAAGGCTTATATTTGTGGGATGATTAACTAAGGAGGAGGAGGGCTTTATTTATAACAAAAGAATTTCCCCTCCTCCTTATACACAACCAATGTGGGACTTTTGCCAAAAACCAACATACTATGCCCCAAATTTTGCTTTCTCTTCCAAATTTGAGCTTTGGGATGTCAACACTGATTGTTGCTCCTGGGAAGGAGTTACGTGTGATGCTCTTGGTCATGTCATTGGGCTCGATCTTAGTTACAAGAACCTTGCAGGCAGCTTTCACTCCATTTTCGATCTCCATCATCTTCAACGCCTTAACCTTGCTGGAAACAACTTTAACACCACTCTGTTTTCGTATGGGTTTGATAAACTACCAAATCTAATTCATCTAAACCTTTCAAGCTCATGTATCCAAGGCCAAATTCCAGTGAAGATATCTTACTTAACAAGGTTAGTATCTCTTGATCTATCAAGTCAAGCTGATTGCATTCTGAGTGGGTATTTTCCAACAGAAATTCTATTATTGCCAAAAATCCAAAGCATTGACCTTTCATATAATGGTCAACTAATGGGTCAGTTGCCAGAATTTTCATCAAACAGTGCTTTACGGAGTTTGTCACTTTCATATACAAATTTTAGTGGGAAACTACCTGAATCAATAGGTAACCTTAAGTTCTTGACAGATTTAACTCTTATAGGTTGTAATTTTTTGGGATCCATTCCATCATCAATTGCAAATCTTAGTCGCCTGGAGCACCTTAATCTCGGAAATAATAACTTCAGTGGTTTAATCCCTCCATTTAGTAGATTTGGAGTTCCAAATCTTGCATATCTAGAATTGGGTGGGAACAAGCTTTATGGATCAATAACTGCTTCTTTGTTTACACTTCCATCATTACGGTTCTTGTCTCTTGGAGAAAATCAATTGGTTGGAAAAATTGACGAGTTCCCCAATGCATCATCTTCATTGATTGAGGTATTAAGTTTAGGCAATAATGATTTAACAGGACTAATCCCAAGTTCAATCCTTCAACTTCCAAGGCTAGAATGGCTTTATCTTGGAGGCAATAGCTTTAGTTCCATGAACCTTTCCTTGTTTGTCCAAATGAAGAATTTAAGGGATCTTGACCTATCCAATATAAGCTTGTTTATTGAAAGGAGCAACAGAAGTATTCATTTCCCCCAATTAGAGATCCTAATATTAGGATCATGCAACCTCACTGAATTTCCAGGATTCATCAAAACACTGGATAAGTTGACTCTTCTAGATCTTTCTAACAACCACATCCATGGTGTTGTGCCTAATTGGTTGTGGAAGACCACTCTTTCTTATGTAAACCTTTCTTTCAATCCCATTGATTTTCCAAAACATCTTCCCTTGAGTGATGCAAACTTCTCTATACCAATGTTGAGCCACTTATATCTGGGATCATGTAACATAAGTGCATTTCCTGAGTTCTTAAGGAGTCAAAAAATTTAGAAATACTTGACCTTTCGAATAACCGAATAAGTGGAGCAATACCAAACTGGGTGTGGAAGAAAGTTTAGTTGATCTGAATCTTTCTTATAATCATCTCTCATCTTTGGACCAACTTTTACCCAACCGGAGTTTAACTTCTTCTCAGGCCTTTTTGCTTCTACCTATTTGTGATATGAGTGGATTATCCTTTTTAGATGCATCTCATAACAATTTGAGTGGTCCCATTCCAAATTGCTTAGGCAATATGAGTTCCCTCGAATATTTGGATCTTCATGAAAATAACTTTAGTGGTATCTTACCGGATTTTGAAAAAGCACCCAATTTGTGGGTACTCAACGTTAGAAAGAATAAACTGGAAGGGAAGTTGCCAAGATCATTGGCAGAATGTACTCCGCTTCAAGTCTTGGATGTGGGAAACAACATGCTGCGTGATACATTCCCTTTTTGGTTGGAGAAATTACCTGCGTTGAAAGTTCTAATTTTGCGGGAAAATAGATTTTATGGTGAAATTAAAAATTTCAAACATAAAATTGTTTTCCCGACTTTGGACGTGTTGGACATTGCTTCTAACGAGTTTTCCGGTGAACTATCCGTTGATTTCTTTCAAGCCAGTCAGCTACGGTCGCTCAAAATCAGTGGGAATAAATTTGAAGGGAAGCTGCCAAGATCATTAGCCACTTGCTCAAAACTTGAAGTTTTGGACCTTGGAAACAATATGGTTCATGATACATTCCCGATCTGGTTGATGAAGTCGCCTTCCTTGAAGGTTCTCATTCTCCGAGAAAACAGATTTCATGGTACAATTGAAGACTTGGACATTGGACATGATTTTCAAACCTGCGAATACTGGACATTACTTCCAACAATTTTTCTGGTGACTTTTCCACTAAATTTTTGCAATGTTTGAAGGCAATGATGCAGATGAGTAATGGCAACAAGCTGAGTTGGAGTACATCGGAAGGCAGTACAACGGAGGGGAGTATTATGAAGATTCTGTGACTATTGTCAATAAAGGGGTTGAATTGTTCTATGAGAAGGTCTTGACCATTCTTACTTGTCTTGACCTTTCCAACAATAGTTTCCATGGGAGAATACCTGAAGACATACATATTTTGAGGTCACTCAAAGTGCTAAACTTGTCCCATAATAGTTTCTCTGGCGAAATCCCATCAGCACTTGACAACCTAAAAGAGCTCGAGTCTTTGGATCTCTCAATGAACAACCTGTCAGGTAAGATTCCTCCGCAGCTTACAGGTCTAACTTTCCTGGCAGCATTCAACTTGTCTTACAACCAACTTGAAGGGAGCATACCACAAGCAACCAATTCATTACATTTTCAAACGGCTCTTACATTGGGAATCCAAAGTTATGTGGGCCGCCATTGTCGAGGAAATGCAATGATGTTGGTCTTCCAATGTCACCACCTCCTCCAGGGGAAAATGAAGAGGATTCATGGTTAGATGCTATGTCTACTTGGCAAATTGCTTTGACAAGCTATGCTAGTTGTTTGGTCGCAGGGATATGTATCGGATTTACAGTGCTGAATGAGTATGGAAACAAATGGGTTTACAAGTTCCAAAAGTATGGGAAAAGAAGCAGAAGAAAATTCATATTTCAAAATCAGCTGTAAGCATTTCCTTTTGAAACTGAAGTTTTTCTAATTTAAAAAGATAGTTGTTACAAACTATGAATTTTCCTATTGTTTGTGGACGATTCAAGTTAATCCTTTGTGTAATATATTCTCGTTTGCCCTAAACCGTTAATTCCGTTAAAAACGGAAAGAGTAAATTATATATTTAGCCTCTCAACTATTTTCATGGTTTCGTTTTGGTCAACCAAATATTTGTACCTAGTTGCAATCTAAAATCAAAGGTGGCGGCTCATTCTGTTTGCATCGCCAGAAGACTCTTTAGATAGAGAAATGAAAGAGGTGACAAAGGGGCCTTTGTTGTTCCTGATAATGCTGTTACATATACTCGCCCTTGTATGATTCGAGTAAATCCTTTCCGTAACTTACTTCCTATGCAATAGGAAAAAAATTCTTAAATCCAAATAACAAGATCGTTTTCTTTCTATTTTGTTGAAGGATCCAATCTCTTCGGAATGATTCTGTTAGAGCCCTCTCTTTGGTATGGATTAATTCTGGCGGAAATGATTTCCATGCACTAGTAATGTTTCGCATGGTTCTGCTTAGGAGGGAGCAGGTTGGCAGCAGCATTTTCATATTTAGCCAGAACGACTGTTCTCCAAATGTTGTTCACTTTGGTCCTCCTGAGGCCCTATTTTCAACCTAGACTGATGGATCCCAATCCCTCCGACCTCTTTCGGCTGCTGCATTCGCTCCTTTTATGGGGTGAAGCTTTCGCTCTTTCTAAGATCCATACCAAAAGATTCTGTGATAAAATGAGACATTGTTCAGAGGCCCGAGAATGTGTTCTGGAAGTTTACATAGGCACGGGCCAACAAAGGTTCAACGGACGGGGCAGAGCCAGGACCTAAAGGGGTGGAGTGGTTATTGGTGGTGAAAATGGAAGGGTTCAACGGGGCAAGATTGGTTCATGCAAACCCTCTTAATAGTCACTGAAACAAGTGGTGAAGGGATAAATTGTCACCACACAATCGAAAAGCCGGACTGTGTCATGATAGCATAATCCAATGGAGTTTTTTAACTCCTGATGTTATTTCTTGAGTTATGCTAAGTGATGAATTTGATCTTCCAATGCCACCTCCTCCATGGTAAGATGAAGAAGATTCATGGTTAGATGCTATGTCTACTTGGCAAATTGCTTTGATAGGCTATGCCAGTGGGTTGGTCATTGGGTTATGCTTTGGATATCCAGTTCTGATTGAGGGGAAACAAATGGGTTGGCTATTTCATGATGAACATGAAATAATACCTATGTGACCTTTTTGAATAGAACACTAAACTGATTTATGCCACCAAAGTCTTTACATATCCTAAAGGTATCATAACCAATGGTGGAACCTAAGTGAGACTAATGATGCCATGGCCTTCTCAAAATTTAAAAAATTATAATTTGTACTTTTAAAAATTTTAAAATATTTAATTTGGACTCCCAAAATTTTTAGAAATTCATATTAAATTTTAAACTTTTGAATGTTCTTAATTGAACCCCTTCCATAATTTATAAAAACTATCATTAAGCCTCTCGAAATTTCAAAAATTTAGTTAGACCATAACTTTTTAGAAAAAAATACATAATTAAATCCTTCAAAAAATTTAAAAATTTTAATTAAACTTCTTAAATTTTTAATGTTTAAATTAATCCTTCTAATCTATATCGCAAAATTTCGCCACTGATTATAATATCTTTAATTCACATCATTGATCGCAACTTTACTAGAAATGTCATCTCATAGAGAGACATCAATTTATTATCAAAGATAGTTTCACTATGAGCCAACCAAAGTTTGAGCAGGCGACAACCAGGAAATATTAATCATAGTCTCTTATCTGACAAGTGCACATCAAAACAAAAATAAATAAATACATAAATAAATAAACTAAACAATTCTGATAAGAATTTTAAGCTAAAATAAATGAAAATTTAACTTAAATTTGACGAGTTCTGATTTAATTTTATAGAATTTCAGTTTTATTTGAAAATAACAGTATAATTGATCTTTATATATTTAAAGATAATTACTAAAATATCCCTCTATGTATATACAATTGAATCTTTATTTTATCTAATAAAAATAATTTTTAATATTCAGGTCAGATCATATTTTACTTTAAAATTCAATTCGAATAAAAATTTTCTAGACTCAGATAAAATCAATATCAAATAAGAGATATAATTCCCGGATCAAGTTCGAATCGATTAAAATCTTATCAAACCCGACCCATTACATTTCATAGACACATTACATTTCATAGACAATTCACACCCTTGGAAAAGGGTGGACCAGAAGCAGTCAACTAAAAAAACATTATTTTTATTAAACAAATTTATTAACAAACTATTAAAATTTATTGTTTTGAATAAGTAAAATGGGGAAAAATTGGTAACAAGTATTCTCGGAAGATTGTCAACAAAATACCTAGGTTTTTCTTGAAATAATAAATGACCTAAAGTGTGAACAACAAAATACCTAGGTTTTTCTTGAAATAATAAATGACCTAAAGTGTGAACAAAAGAAGAATGGCATGAATTAATTGTCATTTAGGGGAACAAGACATTAAATTTCTGAGTAAGATTTAATTATTAGTATTATAGATAAAAAAAATTAGATAAAAAAATTTGATATTATTTTTTATTAAATTGAGTTAAGTACAAATCAATAGCGGTTCAAATATAACTCTTAACTATTTGACATTAAACGCTCACACCCATGGCATTCCTGGTACTCAAACTCGAGACCTCAAGGAATAACAACAATTCTTTTATCACCGAGGTACACAAACTATGACCTTTATTCTAAATTGATCCTCAAACTTTTAACATTTCAATTTCATCCAAAATTGTATGTATATACTAATCACATCCTTCTTAATAAAATTGTTAGGCCAAATTATTTATTATATGTTTGAAAAAAATAAATTTAGGTTAAACTATGATGGAAACTAACTACATATTTGGATGAATTTGGGGATAAATTTGGAAAATTCAAAAGTTTGGATACCAATTTAGTATGATTCATAGTTTGGGATGGAATTGAAATGGTCAAAAGTTTAAGGATTAATTTAAAGTAAGACTCGTAGTTTAGGGATGAAATTAGAATATTCAAAAGTTTAAGGACCAATTTAAAATGATTATTATACGTGAAATATGAACAAAAAGAACAAGGCTAACAATAAAATGGAAAATGACCTGAACATTGACTTGACCATATTTGACATTTCCTTAGAAAACCTCAATTTCCATTCTTTACGAAGCAACTTCACAAAGAAATAATTTAGGAAATATATTAAAAACTTACAAAGAAATTATTATATATTTTTTAATTCCCAAAATATTGCCTATAAATAATCCTACTCGAGCTAAACATTCATCATCACACTCATTACTTTCTTTTAAGCCACTTAGTAAAAAGAAACATGAAAACCCTTCCATTTTCTGCCGTTTTCCTCATTGTTCTCTTCATTGCTGCAGGTAATTTTTTCTCTTTTAACAATTACTGTGTTGATTATCTTTTAAACATTCTATGTTTTGATTTAGAAGATAATTAGATTTTTATGTTTAATTTTGTTGTATTTATTTAATGATCTAAGTAGAGATTAATTATTTTTTTGTATATATTTTTTAAGGTAAAGTACATAAATGATCCCTTGACTGTAAGCCACTACTTTGTTGAGTCATCGACTATTAAAATTTATAAAATGTCCCCCCTGTTATAGGGCGTTTCTTTGTTGAGTTCCGCGATTATTAAAAGTTACAAAATGGTCATCTAACTATGTATGTGTTCCAAACTCATCATTTTCTGTTAAAAAAATTGATGACCGTATGAGTTTGATGTTAACCTACTGACTTGATATGATAAAATATGATCCCAAAAACGTTTGAGTTGTATTTTATAGATCGAGTTTCCATTTACACTATATCGTCAAGCTAGTGCTTGAAAGCAACGACAGTGCCTGTGGGCATCATTAAAATATGATTTTATTATATTTTAATAAGTAGGTTAACGTCCAATTCAGACAACTCTCAAATTTTCAACGAAAAATGATGAGTTTGAAACATATGAATAATGAGATGACCATTTTGTAATTGTTAATAGTCAATGAACTCAAAAAAGAATCGGCGTATAATTGGGAGATCATTATTTAATTTTTAATAGTCGGGAGACTCAAAAAAGTAGAACTCTATAGTCGGGGAACCATTTGTGTATTTGATCCTATTTTCTATTTTTGTATAGGGAATGAGTCAAAGATGGTAAATGCAATAGGAAGCTGTGATGTGATGGGGCATGGCGGGGGGTGCGAAATAAACGAATGCTTCAATGGATGCAGGGCCAAGTTCGGTCAAGATGCTCATGGCTTTTGCTTCACTATCCATACTTCCGACGACACTTGCATCTGTCGTCACCCTTGTTAATCAATAACCATACTTTATTTCCAGTAGTTTTTATTTCTACGTTAGTGCATCGCATGTATTTGCTATGCTATTTATATTAAATAAATTGACGTTTACCCAGAACGTCGTATGTCACACATATTTGATTTGGCTATCTGAAGCGTCTGGGACGGTCTGAAGCAATCTGAACCGTTGGACTATCAACCAAATCCAACAACTGATATCAATGGTGACTGGATTATGAAATATTTTAGTACTAAAGTTTAATCATGGCATTAGCAGATCCAACGGTTGAAATACTAACAGCAGATAGAGTTTCTTTACGACCTTGCTTAAGGTTTGGACCCTGGACTACTTTACCCCATATTATTAAAGAAAAAGATTATATCTAAATACTTGAAAACATGCATATCTAAATAATGTTGGATTTGAGAAGCTCATAAGATTTTCCGAATCTCATATCGTTTACGTATGAAGTTTTCAAGTGTTTAAATATAATCATTTAAAACGTACATTTTAATAGGTGATTAAACATAAGGATAATATATATGCACATCGCAACCACCCGACTTGTTCCCGTACAAATACATTTCATCCAGTTAAGGAATTGTTTTTAGCGAGACATTCTCTTAAGCTAAAGCTTCTTGTTTTATGATTCTCTAATAAAATCTTTATTGATGAGCAAAAAAAAAAATCAAATTACATCTCTCATTCTAAATTAGCTCTTAAATTTTTTAACCTTTCAATTCCATCTCCAAACTATCGTCATCACTTTATATTAGTCACCAAACTTCTATGTGTTTTAGTTTCATCTCAAACTATTGATATATGTTAATTGCATCTCATGTTATAATAAAATCATTAAGTTAATCTATATTATTATATATTTGAAAAAGAATCAGGTTAAACTATGTTTGAAACTAATAAATATTTGGATGAATTTCTGGATGAAATAGGAAGATTAGAAGTTTTTAGACCGCACTAGAGTTAGGGTTATAATTTAATAATAAAATTAGAATGTTCAAAAGTTTGAGAACTAATTTAGAATTAGAGACATATTTTAAGATAAAATTAAAATTTTAAATATTTAAGTATCAATTTAAAACGAGACTAGTAACCAAAAAACGTGTGAATCAATTAACTCGTAATTATACTTAATTTCCTTTAGTTTTTGTTTCTATGTTAGTGACCATATATTATGATTTTTGAAATCAATGAGAAAAAGTGGACAAAACACAAATATAATTGATCAATCCCGTAGTTGATCCTTAAATAAATTGATGTTTAAATATTAATTCATCCAATGGCTCACGTATTCCAATTTAATTCTAGTCCATATGTTCAAGAATAGAAAGAATCAAATATTTGGTGGATAAAATTACATTATTTTAAAAAATAATCCTAATCAAAATTTGAAACCCTAATGTTTTCCGACGCCGGTGGGCATCGGGAAGCGGCACAATGGGCAAATATGACTGGTATTCAGCCACTTCTCGATACAATCTCCATGGAAGAGATGAGAACACGGCATGCAAGTGGCGTCCTCCATTCTAGACGACGCCAACTTCTCCATGCAAATCATGCATTCGGTACCATCGCCTTCAAGAACTTTCACTTTCTTCAAAGCCCGGATCGATTCTCTCGTCGCCGGCACCGGCTTCGGATCTTCCCGCATCGATAACTCCATCGCCATCGCGGCTAACTCACCCTCCTCGTATTCCCTTGTCACGATCTTTTTAACTCGAAAAATTATCCTCAGCACGTTGTGGAATTCATTGTTGTTTCGATTCTTAATTTTCTTCTTCTCTTCTTCTAAAATCAAGTCGGTATAGGAGAATGCTCGATCCAATATCATTACAAGGCTGCCTCGATCGAGCCATCCGGCTTGGAGTAAACGACGAGCGACGAGGCTGCGGTGTCGATAGGAGCTGACCAAAAATTCGGGTAAAGTAATGAACTCGTCGGCGTTATCTTCATGCCGAGCACACCATCGAAGACGGCCATTGTCATCCTCATGAAACGTACGTATCTCAAGATGAAATTCGATCAGGGAAAAGTTAGCAACATTGTTTGAACGATAGTGGTCTACCGTCAGTTCAAAACGCGGTTCGCTACTTGCCATTGATGAACGCTGCTACTCTCTTCAAAAACAAAACGCTATAAAGGTTTGCTCGGGTAAAATACTTCAGAACTGGGATATATATATATATATATATATGTGTGTACATGTACATGTGGAATAACATAAGATATTCAGTCTTTTATTAGGATTCGAAATTCAAACCTATTAACGAAGGGATTTTATATTTTGTTTTTAAACAAAGAATACATACTTATCCTCTTGTTCTCTTTTAGATTTTTCTTTTAGTGAAGGACAAGGTAATTTTTAATAATAAATTAAATTTATATTAAATATAATTTTAAGATATATAAAAAATTAATATTAAATATATTTTTCTTTAATCTTAATTTATTATTATTATTATTATTTATTTGGACAAGGTATTTTTAATGATAAAATTAATATTTCATTTAAATTTTAATTATAAAATATATAAATAATAATATAAAATATAAGATGATTCTTTCACGCTCAACGAGCGACGATGAGCACCATTAATAAAATATAAATTAATTTATAAAACGTTAAAATTCTAAAGGACTCGACGTATAATTATAAAGTAGTTGAAAATTTAAAGGTAAACTATTTGAAATAAAAGGTAAATTATACCAGTGACCACCTAACTATTGTCTCTTTTTATTTTGACCATCATTTTTAAAATTTTGTCAACCAGGTCACTAGAGTACTTAAATGCATTCAATAAAACCATTCGTCATTAATATCTGCACGAAAATATTATGTGTCAGTTAAAATATTTGGTATAATTACACATTTAATAACAGTTACTTATATATTCTATTAATTTGGTTCTAATTTTAATAAATTAAAATAAATTTAACCCTCAAATATGCCAAAGTAGTTAATTGGAAAGGAATCCAATTTAATACCAACCACTACAAATTTTCTTTTCTCTTTATCAACTTTTATTATTTCTAATAATAAAGTAAAATAAATATGCCAACGTTTTGTGATGAGACGTGCCAACATTTCTCCACGTTCTTCGTTTTTTTAGCTAAAAATATATATTTTACATTAATACACACAAGACAACTAGTGTGACAAATTCATGTGTTTAAATTATATATTTCAATGATTTTAGGAGTTTAAATTAGATGTTTTATTTTATTTTGTAATTATTTTTAGACCGCTTGTTTAAAAATATTTATTTTTTATTACTTAGCTATCCAAGTATTATAACTTTATTTTTACCTAATTCGTCGCATTATAAGTAAAATCTAATTATTTTGGAATAATTTTTAAGAGTTTAAATTTTGATTTTACTTAATATAGATGTATTTTTGAAATCAAAGCGTTTGATATTTATTTTTTTTTAAAATCATTTTTTTGTAAGTTTTCTTTTCTTTTCTTTCTTGTTTGTTTTCCAACAAATTGAAAGAATAAGATGAATAAAGACTACTTTGGCACCATTTGATTTGAGGGTTAAGTTTATTTTAATTTATTAAAATTAGGACCAATTGATAAAATATATAAGTAACATGGACTAAATGTGTAATAATATCAAATATTTTAACTGTCACATCAACTATTCCGTTAAATATTAACAACAAGTGGCTTAATTGAATGCATTAAATAGTAAAGTGACCTGATTGACAAAACTTCAACAATGGTGGTCAAAATAAAAAGGGGCAGTAGTTAGGTGATCATTAATGATGCTCATCGTTAGTTACGCTCATCAGTACTGGTTGGGCGTTGTAGAATTTTCCTAAATATATTCTACTTTATTCTTAATTTATTATTCTCTTTTGGATTGCTTTCAGTTTTTAACAAGGTATTTTTTAATAATAAAATTAATATTTTATTTGAATTTAATTATAAAAATATATATTAATATCAAATATATTTTATTTATTTTTTTTAAATTAAAAACTTAATTTATTAAACATATAATATTATTATCAAGTATATTTTTGTTTCTATATATTTGAATTATGTTTTTAATTAATTTTTTAATCATTATTATTTTTTATTAATTTTAATGATTATAAGATAATATATGTTACAAAATTTTTAGTTAATTAACAATAAATATACATGATTTATAAACGTAACTACTCGAATTCGATATATTAAAAAAACCATACTCTCGTTCAATAAGATTTTATTAATTAAAATATATGTTTATTTTATATTCAGATGTGCACAACAATGTTTGATGTAAGTTGTAGCTTTTCAATATACTGCTTATAAATGTATTTATAATTGTAATGGTAATTCTTTTTTTCATTAAATTTAATCGTAAATTATTTTTTATTAAGCCTTTTTATAAGCCCAAATTCATTAACAACCTATAAAATATAATTTTTTTATAAAAATGTAACATCGTTGATGTGAACGGTGAATTTAGGCAGGTCTTGGTCTTGATACCAATACATTCATTTCCTTAAAATAATTAATAAAACGACCTCGACATTGATTTGGACAGATTTGACGTTGACTTTAGAAATTCAGGGAAATTATTCCCTTAATTACCATTCCTAGTGAGAACAACTCCACGAATAATAAATGGGTTAATTATATGGATGATCACTTATATTTTTATTTTATCCGCTTTTGGTAATTGACTTCAAAATACATAAGATATGCTCACCACGAGTTAACCACCGTTAAATACTTTGGTATTATAACACATTTGGTCTATGTTATTTACATATTCTCTCAATGTAGTTATACTTTAATAAATTAAAATAAATTTAATCATACAATCGAATGATGTCACTGTCATTGGTACCACATGTTGTGTCATGTTTCACCATTTAGTTGGAAAACTAACTTTATTTTAATTTAACAAATCAAAGCAAATTGGTGGAAAATAAATATATTAAAATAAAATAATGTTAGTCCTCCAACCGAATGGTGACACACGACACGACACATGACACCAGTTACATGTGACATCATTCGATTGTGTTATTAAATTTTATTTTAATTTATTAAAAGTATGACTAAATCGAGATAATATGTAAATAATAGGGACCAAATGTGTGATTATACCAAAATATCACATCATTTAATCTGTTAATTGTTAACTGCGGTTAATCCGAGGTGACCACATCTTAAATAAATAAAAACTAAAGTGACCATATCTTAATTAAATAAAAAGGAAGGTGAAAATATCTTATGTATTTTGAAATCAGTGACCAAAAGTGCACAAAACACAAATATAAGTGATTATCTGTATAGTTAACATTTAATTAATTTAGGAAATAAATAAAAATATTTACACACTTTCCTAAAGAAAATTACAATGAAATTATTATATTTTTTAAAATTTCCAAAATATTGCCTATAAATAGTTCTACTCAAGCAAAACTTTCCTCTTCTCACTCACTATTTTCACTAAAGCCACTTAGTGGGGAAAAAATGAAAACCCTTTCATTTGCTGCCATTTTTCTCATCGCTCTCTTCATCACTGCAGGTAAAATTTTCTTCTACAAATTATTATTGAATTACAAATCATTTACTCTTTAATATCATCGATGGATTATAAATTAATAACCGTTCATAATTGTTTTAGTCTATTGACGACTTATGTACATTTTATAAATGCAATTATTCAAACGTACATCTCCTAAAAAGAAAAACACTATATTATTAGTCAAACGATTCAATAAATTTTGTTTTATAAACATTTATGTGTTCGTTTGACGGTGTAAATATCGATTATTTTTTTTGGGTATAGTTTTTTTATTATTGATTTTTAATTATTTTTGCATAGGGAATGAGTCAAAGATGGCAAATGCAATAGGAAACTGTGATGTGTTAGGGCACGGTGGAGGGTGCGAAGTAAACGAATGCTTCAATGGATGCAGGGCCAAGTTTGGTGAAGATGCTCATGGCTTTTGCTTCACCGTCAGTGCTCCCGACGACACTTGCATGTGTCGTCACCCTTGTTAATCAATAATAATACTTAGTTTCCATTATTTTTTATTTCTATGTTGGTCCATGCTTTCGCTATCCTATTTTTATTAAATAAATTGATGGTTAATGTCAATAATTTGTTTAATAACTAATGGTTATAGTAAGTGTTTTTATGTTAATCCATGTTTTTGCTATTTTGTTTACTTGTATCAATATCTTCCTTAATAGTTAATGGCCAAATCGATTAAAATGAAATGTCGGTTGTCAAAATGTTCCATAAAAGAATAGGGGTAAAATAGACTAGTTAGTCAATTTTTGGAGTTTTTTTATCATGAAATAAAACAACTAAAATACTCCAGAAAAAAGAATAAAGATCAAAATTACAATTTTAATAAACATCGGAGGCTAATTTCATCATTATATCTTGATAAAGTTTATAGCTTGATAATTAAAATAGAAAAATCTTATAGTTTAATGACTATAAATGTAGTTTACCCTAAAATAATCTTCCTGTTAAGATAGAAAATCTGGCCAGTTGACTGACCTAATTAGCTGTAATCATGAAATTCATGACTCTTTTAAATGCCAAGCACAATCTATTTTTATTTTTTTCTTTTATCTAAAGATTTTTTTTTCTATTTTTAATATTAAATTAATCAGTAAAAAAAATATTACACAAATGATTTTACTATTTTTGAATAATGTAGGTTGTCATTCAGATTTTTCTTAATTAATTAGTTACATAACCATCTTGTAGATACAATTTATCGAATTCAGAACTTTTACGAAGAATAATAGTCTTCAAAGATAAAGTTAACGAACGATCTTCACTTGAGGTTCGACGGCTTCAAGTACCTCCAAACTGTCAAGACGAAACAACCAGGTATGAGCAAATGTGGATTGAACCCCAAATGTGGATTGAACCCCAAACTGTCAAGACGAAACAAACGATCTTCAAAGATCTAGCTCAAACAACTTATCTTGTGTTTTGATGAATCCTGGAGAAAGGTTACGTACCCCAAATGTGTTGTGGATTGAACCTTAGCATGTTCATCATCATATGTCTTCAAATGTCTGTAGTTTTGAAACTCCAAAAGAGATCCATGTATGAGCAAGCACTTCCGGTATTGCCTGCCCAAGAACAAGGTACACACCGGCAACCTGGCAGTGGAGTCAAATCATTCCGTCAAATGTGGCTTTCATCAATATCAACCCAGCAAATTTCTTCTCAGATTCATAAAATATTCTGAAAATAAAAAGTTCGAAATAAAAGTAAATAGCATGTTAAAGAAAGCTATGATAGCTATTATTAGCATGGAAGTTGAGTACTAGATAAAAATTATACCCTCCCCCAAATGACTTGTGAATTGAAGCACGGCTTGCTGATCATCATATTCTTTCAAATAAATATCAGCTCCCAATCGATCCTTACCCTGAAAGAACTATCTTTGGACCCTGAAACACAATTAACAAAAATGATCTTTTTATTCAGATTTAAGAATCATGGATCAGCTTCTATAACAGAGGAATGCTTAGTGGATCGTTATGCATATATTGATTATATATAGCTAGTAACAACCCTTTTTTCCTTTATATTGCGTAGGGAGTAAGTTATAGCATATGAATTCTGGTGAAGTCACCTGTTAGATTTCCAGAACCTCATTCGGCACTGTATATCCGATACATATCACAATGAGAAATCAATTACCATAACATCTCAATTCAATTTTCCAAGTAGATATAAAAGAGACGCCTCTAGATGCGGTGTCTCTCTGCATAATTACTCTGTCAAATGTGACTTTCGTCAACATAAGGTTCACTACTACAGAAAGATCAACTCAGTTGGCCTACCCATTTAATCATAGTATACTCATTACATGTCCTCAGTATATACAATTAGCAAATTCAAGTAAAATGTCGGTATGAGCAATCACTTTCAGTATTGCCTAAGAACACAGTACCTTCAAAAATTGTCCTTTGTGACCTCTTTCATTTCTATATTCGAAGAGTCTTTTGGCGATGTGAATAGACTGAGCTGCAACCTATGATTTTAGACACCTGCTACAAATTTTGTACCATACTTTTGGTTATTTTCTATTTCAAATGTCACCAACTTACATGCAACGATTTGAAGCTTTATGGGGACAAAGGACATTTACCTCTATCAAGATTTATGATCAGAGACCTAATCATAAAACTCGACAAATATGCCAACTTCATGCCTTGTTGACATCTTGGTCAAAATCTAAACCAGACTGGTTGCTCTTACACCAACTCGCAATATCCTGAACAACAACATGCTCAGGGGCTTCATAGTTTGCAAATAAAGCAATAGAAGCAAAAGTAAATAAGCTTTTCAACTACACATGCATCCATGGAAATAAGGGAGAAGGGGTTGGGAATACCTGCCCTAGCAGTTCTGCCTCTGCTTCAATTCCCCCAAAATCGAATTTCTGGTGAAGTCCTCATCTCTTATAGTACCTCCTGAATTTACATTCCATGTCCTGCTTCAAGTCCATCCTGAAATAAAAAAATAGGTCAGTGTCAAATTTCGAAAGAATATGAAATGTCTCGTAGTTTACAACAACTATCTTTTCAAATTAGAAAAACTGAAGTTTCAAAGCGAAATACTTACCTGATGATTTTTGAAACACTAACTTGGATGGAGTCTCCTAGATCTCCTATTTTGATTCCCATACATTTTGAACTTGTAAACCCATCTGTTTCCCAACTCATTCAGCACTGTAAATCCAATACATAGCCCAACGACCAAACCACTACCATAGCCTATCAAAGCAATTTGCCAAGTAGACATAGCATCTAACCATGAATCTTTTCCGTCTTCCCTTGGAGGAGGTGGCACCGAAATACCAACTTCATCGCATTTCCTTGACAATGGCGGCCCACATAATTTTGGGTTCCCAAGATAAGAATCGTTTGAAAATGTACCGAATTGATTGCTTTGTGGTATGCTCCCTTCAAGTTTGTTGTAAGAGAAGTTCAATGCCGCCAGGAAAGTTAGACCTGTAAGCTGTGGAGGAACCTTACCTGATAGATTGTTCATTGAGAGATCTAAAGACTCAAGTTCATTTAGGTTCTCAAGTGCTGATGGTATTTCACCAAAGAAGCTATTATAGGACAGGTTTAGCACTTTGAGTGACATGAGAAATCGTATTTCTTCAGTTATTCTCCCATGGAAACCATTGCTGGAAAGATCAAGACATGTGAAAATGGTTAAAACTTTCTGGTAGAACATTTCAATCCCTTTATTAACAACTGTCACAGAGTCTTCATAGTACTGCCCTCCGTTGTACAGCCTTCCGATGTAATCCAACTTAGATTTGTGGCCATGAGTCGTCTGCATCATCACCTTCAAACATTGCAAAAATTCAACGGACAAATTTCCTGAAAAATTGTTGGAAGCAATGTCCAGTATGCTTAGGTTTTGAAAACCAAGTCCAGTGTCAAAGGCTTTGATTGTACCATAAAATCTGTTTGCTCGGAGGATGAGAACCTTCAAGAAAGGATATTTCACCAACCAAACCGGGAATGTATCATGAAACATATTGTTTCCAACGTCCAAAACTTCGAGTTTTGAGCAAGTGGCCAATGATCTTGGTAGCTTCCCTTCCAAATTATTCCGGCCGATTTTGAGCGACCTCAGCTGACTGGCTTGAAAGAAATCAATGGATAGTTCACCAGAAAACTCGTTAGAAGCAATGTCCAACACATCCAAAGTTGGGAAAACAGTTTTATTTTTCACATATTTAATTTGACCGCAAAATCTGCTTTCCCGCAATACTAGAACAATCAATGCAGGCAATTTCTCCAACCAAAAAGGGAATGTATCAAGCAGCAAGTTGTTTCCCAAATCCAAGATTTGAAGCTGAGTGCATTCCACCAATGATCTTGGCAGCTTCCCTTTCAATCTATTCTCGCTAACTCTGAGTATCGACAATTTAGGTGCTTTTGTAAAATTTGGTAAGATTCCACTGAAGTTATTTGCATGAAGATCCAAATATCGGAGGGCACTCATATTGCCTAAGCAATTTGGAATGGGGCCACTGAAATTGTTATGAGATGCATCGAACAAGGATAGTCGACTCATATCACAAATAGGTCGAAGCAAAGAGGCCTGCGAAGAAGTTAAACTTTGGTTGGATAAAAGTTGGTCCAAAGATGAGAGATGATTATAAGCAAGATTCACATAACCCAAGCTTTTCTTCCACACCCAATTTGGTATTGCACCACTCATTCTGTTATTCGAAAGGTCGAGTAATTCTAAGTTTTCTAGATTCTTTAACAACTCTGGAAAAACACTTATGTTACATGATCCCAGATATAATTGCCTCAGCATTGGAAAAGAGAAGTTTGCATCACTTGAGGGAAGCTGTTTTGGAAAATAGATGGCATTGAAAGAAAGGTCTACCCGTGAAAGAGTGGCCTTCCACAACCAATTAGGCACAACACCGTGGATATGGTTGTCAGAAAGATCAAGAAAAGTCAACTTGTCTTGTGTTTTGATGAATTCTGGAAATTCAGTGAGGTTGCATGAGTTTAGTCCTAGGATCTCTAATTGGGGTAATGTGAGGGTTTTGTTGTCACTTTCCATTAACATGCTTATGTTGTATAGGTCAAGTTCCCTTAAATTCTTGATTTGGAAGAAGATGTCAAACTTCATGGAACTAAAGCTATTGCCTCCGATATTAAGACTTTCAAGCCTGGGAAGTTTAAGGATTGAATTTGGGATTGGTCCTGTTAAATAATTATAGCCTAAATCTAATTCCTCAATCAATGAAGCAGATGCATTGGGGAACTCATCAATTTTTCCAACCAATCGATCTGCTCCAAGAGACAAGACTCGCAATGATGGAAGGGTAAATAGGTAAGGATTTATTGATCCAGAAAATCCATTCCCATCCAAATAGAGAGATGCAAGATTCGGAACTCCTATTCTATGGAAGGGAGGGATTAAACCACTGAAATTATTATATCTTAGATCCAGGTTCACCAGGTGACTAAGATTCGTAATTGATGATGGAATGGATCCATAAAATTGACAAAAAATAAGAGTTAAATCTGTCAAGAACTTAAGGTTACCGATTGACTCAGGCAGTTTTCCACCGAAATCCGTAAAAGGAAGCTCCAATATCCGTAAAGCACTGCTTGGTGGAAATTCTGGCAATTGACCCATAAGTTGATCATTAAACGAAATGTCAATGCTTTGGATTTTTGGCAATAAAAGAATATCTGTTGGAAAATGCCCACTCAAACTGCAATCTACCAAACTGAGAGAAGTCAGATTCGAGGAATTTGTCAAGAAATTAGGAGGTAAATAAGAGATTGGGTTCCAGTCAAGGACAAGTTTGGAAAGAAAAGGAAGTCTTGAGAGTGAAGAACATAATGGACCCTTTAGACCGCAGTTTGACAGACTCAACACTTGGAGATTGGGAAGTAGTAAAGATGTGGTTTCACACCATTCACCACTTTGAAACGAGATGTCCACTCCGTCCGAATAGAGCTCTCTGAGATGCCTCAAATTCTTGATCAGTGTCTTGAAGTTTGGTTTCTCTAGTTTCAGAGTAGGTGAATCATAAAAATAACCATCACCGTTTCTCATATAACAGTGCTTTTGATTAGATAGATCAAGAGAAACCAACCTCGTCAAGAACGACATCGCCACTGGAATTTGGCCATGGAAGCACAAGCTTGAAAGGTTGAGATGAGTTAGATTTGGGAGTTTATCAAACCCATACGACAGCAGAGTGGTGTTGAAGTTGTTTCCAGCAAGGTGAAGGTGTTGAAGATGACGGAGATCCAACATGGAGTGAAAGCTGCCTGAAATGCTTCTGTAACTGAGATCAAGTCCAACGACATGACCAGAAGCATCACAAGTAACTCCTTCCCATGAACAACAATCGGTGTTGGCATCCCAAAGATCAAATTTGGAAGAGAAAGTGAAATCAAGGGCATAGTAAAGATCATGCTGCAGTTGTAGCAGAGAAGATCTCTGGTCATCAAGGCATTGCTTTGGGAGATCATCAAAGGAAAACACAAGAGAAAGGAAGCATGAAAATAGAAAGAAGAGCGAAACTAGGAAATAAAGAGTCTTCATGTTTGGTGGTTATGGCTGTGATGGAAGATTGTTTCAAATACATCATTGTATTTATAGACAAATCTGTATTAGTTTATTGTTTTCATAATCTCCTACCATGTATCTGTAAAAGTCTAAAAGAAACCCATCGTGTCTTTGCTGCATGCAATGCATGAAGAACTTCGACCTGGTTGTAAGGTGATTGAACGAGTCAGTGGTGATAAAATAGTTTAATTACGCACCAAAAACGCGTTGATTACACAATGGGATGTAAACTGAAAATGAATCAAGTTAAAATATGGAACTCAGTAATACTCGAACTCGACTCGACTCGTTTACGGTCCTACTCACATCATGAACTTGATAATATGAACTCGGCTCGTATACTTGTTAAGATAAAATAATCATGAACTTGATGGCTATTTCAAATGCTAAGCACATTTTCTTTTTTATTTTACTTTCCTTGAGAATCTAAAATGTCAACTCTTACCAACTTCATTAAAGTTTGAAAGATTCTTTACAAGGATATATCTAAGGTTGATCAATCAATTAATACTTACAGAGAAAAGAAGAAATTCAAACACTATCATGAATATGATCTGTAAAACGAACATAAAAAAAAATTATTCATCTGTGCATTTGTTGACATCCAATTTGCAGTCTCCAAAATCCAGTTGGATCTCTCTTATGGCTCTAAGGGTGAGAAGATGATGAAGCAAGCAGTGAGTCCATAACTTGCTTCTCACCTACTGAACATTCAACTATTTGATTCTCCCTTACAAAGAAAAATTCTAAAGAGGAAGCAAAGGAAATCTCTCAACTTTTTGGTAAAGTCTTCATCTCCTATGAAGGTATCATTCCAAAACAGATGGCTCTAGCAGTGGTGTCTCTTTGCAGAATCACTCTGTTTCATCTGCATCAAGTTATCATTCCACGTTGAGATGAACGAATAATTGTGAACTTGCATGCATGTGTATGTATATTTGTATCAGTATCTTATGAAGAATTCCAGAACCAGGAGGAAGAACAAGCATGTTTTTAAAGAGCAGATGAAGTCCATTTAATGAACGCAAGTTTCTCTTTGTTGATTTGAAATTCAAGCCTTTTTTAATCTCTGCCTGCCTCAATTATATATAATTCAAAGGAGATTGAGAGTTGTGGTAGCATACTAATTCTGGGATAAGCCTTTTCACCTATCGTTTTCCGAACTTTAATCTGGCAATCTGAGCTTCCTTGGTCACCTTTTTCATTTCTCTATCCAAAGAGTTTATTTGCGATTCGATCAGACTGAACAGCCACCATTGATTTTGGACACTTGCTACAGAATTTGTGCCAAAAAGGGACTTAACCCCGAGTATACTGATCAATTTGAGGTTTGATTTTTTCAGATGAATCATTAGATGACAGACCAAGGTTTGAGTTTAGAGAGTTGATAGACCTGAGGTGGGATACTGCGATTGTGCCAAAAATTCCATTCAAGCTAAGGTCTAACGCTTACCTTAAATGTATTTCCTTCAAATTAAAGATGAGGGATTGACAGCCAAGGCATCAGGGAGACTGACCCCTGCAACAAAATCGAGAGAAAACGATCTTATTATTTGGATTTAAGTATTATAGAGTACTTATAATAACAGAGGAATGCTTTGTAGATGAGAGTGTGCATGTTTTGACTATATATCTATAAATGACCATTTTTTATCCTACTGCATGGGAAGTAGGTTATTTAAAAGATTTACACGAACCATACAGGAGCGAATATATGTAACAGCATCATCTCGAACAACCAAGGTCCCTTTGTCACCTCGTTTATTTCTCCATCCGAAGAGTCTTTTGGCAATGCGAAAAGAGTAAGCCGCCAACTTTGCTTTTAGACACCTGCTAAAAAAATTGTGTGCTTTTCTATTTCAAATGCCATCAATGAACATGCAATGATAGGAAGCTTTAGGGGAACAAAGGCCATTTACCTCTGTCAAGATTTGTGATCATAGACCTAACCGTAAAACTCGACAGATATGCCAACATCATGCGTTCTTAACATCTTTGTAAAACTCAAAACAAGACTGATTGCTCTTACACCATCTAGCAATTTCCTGAATAACACCAGGCAATACCTGGCTGAGAGGCTGCATATTTGCAAATAAAAGCATTAGAAACAAAAGCAAATAAGCTTTTCAACTGCATAGAGATTCATGAAATTAAGTAAAAAGGGGTTGAGAATAACTGGCCTAGCATTGCTGCCTCTGCTTCAATTCCCCCAAATCCACGGCCCCAAATGCCTAATCCATTTATCATTGATTTATGAACCACACCATAAAGAAACAGTATTCCGTCATTGTTAAAGACAACTCATTTGAGGTATACCTATATGTAAGTTTGTTTCAAATGTATTGATAGACAGATTCGGCTGCAAAGTTCCTTTAATTTGAACAAACTACCCTGAACTTGTATGCATATGTATATGTACAAGCAAGTTTGTATCTTTACCTGCTGAAAAATTCCAGAAATAGGAGGAATAACTATGAGGTTTCCAAAAGCGGATGAGACCCATTTTTTGAAAGCAAATATCTCCTTTGTTCCTTTGAAATTCAAGTTCCGTGTGCGATTGTACAGCAGTTTCAGATCTTCTCACGTTAACTTGGAACGAATGATCAACAACAAAATCCAACGGGACCTGGATGCTAAAAAGAATGAACATTTACATACATACTCGTGGAAAATCCATACGGCTCATATTTGTTAGAAAAATTTACCATTTTCTTCAAGTTGCCAATCTCTGCTTCAGCATGGCCTGTTTCAAGTACCCCATGAGTTTACATTCCATGTCCTGCTTCAAGTACATCTGCAAGGGAAAGAAAAGGTTGGGACCTAAATTCAGAAGCATATGTACATGTATCCAATCTATTCCCACCAATTTTGAGCGACCTTAGTTGAGTGGCTTGTAGGAAATTGATGGGTAGTTCTCCAGAAGCAACGTCCAACACGTCCAAAGTTGGGAAAACAATTTTTATTTTTGAAATGTTTAATTTCAGTAAAACTTTTGAACATTCTAATTTCATCCTCAAATTATAAGTCTATAACCCTCATTCTAAATTGATCCCCAAACTTTTGAATCTTTCAATTCTATCCCCAAATGCTTGGAAAGAAAGAGAAGTCTTAAGAGTAAAGGGCATAACAGACCTTTTAAATCATTATTTGACCGATTCAACATTTAAAGGTTGTAAAGTACTAAAGATGTGATTTTAAACCATTGGAAAACTCGTCAATTTAGGGTAAACTAATCAAATGGGCACCTAATTATGGGGGTGTTCGATTCTTCATCGTTTTAAGGTTCTTGTGGGGTTATGCTCTTTAAAGCCTTGAAGTTACAAGTTTGATTCCGTTCCGCTGTCGCCAGATTGCCTCTGGTAGTGCAGCGGGCTTCGGTGGTCCCTGTCATTTGCTCGGTTATCATTTAGGTTGGCTCTTGGGCTGAGACGGTGATGGTTGCTTTCTTTGCTGCAGGAGGATTCTCTTGCTTTTGCTGGCTTCGAGGTAGCTTTTCTGAAGTTTGTTCAGGGAAGCACTGAGTTGAGGTGTGATGTTTGGTGCTCTGTCATTTTGCGGGTATTTAGGTAGTGTGGTGATAGTTTATTAGTGTGCCCATACTGTTTTAGTTTGGGCCACTATTCAGTGGGTGGATGTTAGCATCAATTTAGTTGGTTTATTTTGTAGTGCCCATACTATTCTTCGAGGAAGTGTGGAAGGATTTTCAGCAAGTGTGTGTCTTTTCTAATGATGTGCCTTTGGTCAAGTTCCGGGTGTTGTTGCTGGTCTGTTCCAGTGCTTGGTTCGTTCCTCTGATTTTGTTGTATGTGTATTTCGCAGTGTGACCTCTTTTCTTATTGTTGGTTGTCTGTGTTAGTTTTTTTATGTGTTGATTTGGTGATTGTGGTAAGGTGTGGGTATGTACTGAATGAGGGCCTTGAGGTGATGTACTTTGTTACTTTCTTTAATACAAAACCCTGTTTCAAAAAAAACTATTTAAATAGTATCAATCAAGTCATCTGATATTAAAACCTAACGGATGAGTGATGTGGCAGTTAATAAAATTTTTAAATAATTACACTTTTAATTCTTATTTCTTACACTTTTGTAATTTATTACTAACTTTAATTTAATTTAATAAATTAATCATTTAATTAGTTGCCTTGGACAGGATTCGAACCCAAGTTGTTGAGACAAATGGCGTGCCTCACTACAATTGAGCCAAGCATCACAATAGTAAAATAATGGGTAAACTACATTGGAAACCACTTATCTAGTGCCCTTTTTCATTTTGACTACTGATGTATCTATTTCATCAATCAGACCACCCAATTATTTAAATGTTTCAATCAAGTCATTGACCGTTAACTTTTAACAGGGGACTGATGTGGTAGTTAAAAACTTAATATAATTACATATTTGGTCCTCAATATATTTACATTCTATCAATTTAATCATAATTTAATTCAATTAAAATAAATTTAATCTCCAAATTAGATGGTGACACGTGTCACTATCAGATTAGAGGATATTTTCTTACTTTTTTATTTATTCTAATTTAATCTATTTTTTCTCTCATAAGGTGATGACACGTGTCACCGCAATATTAAATAAAAAAAATCAATTGAAGAGGAAATGTGCACCAGGAGGTACTTGAACCTAACATAAAGAGGAACTCGTAATAGACATTTTAAACTACAATTTGACAGACTCAACATTTAAAAGTTGTAAAGCAGTAAAAAGGTGATTTTTTTTGGTAATAAGAGAATTTTAATTGAAAAATACATATAAAAATAATATCATAATCTTATAGTGTAATTATGATACGAATACAAAACTTCATTAAAATACATTAATTTATAAAAACATAAAATTATATAAATATTGAATACCATTTTCTTTCAATGCCTGGAAACAGGGGAAGAAGCAGAGTTTCCTTCTGGTTTACGCTAAATATTGAATACCATTGGTGGTAAATACTAAATAGGATGCTTATCTTTTGCAAAAATGAATTCTTTTATTAGGATACTTAATCCAAAATATTAAATTCAAAGAACACGATTTCGAATTATGCCATCACGACACGGTCCGACTTGTTCGACTGTATGGTGACAATTTTTCCCTTCACTTATTTCAGTGACTGTTAAGAGGGTTTACATGAACCAATGTTGGCCCTTTGAACCCTTCCATTTTCTTCACCAATAACACTCCACGCCCTGTAGGTTCCTGGCTCCACCTCGTCCAGCGAACCTTTGTTGTCCCGTGCCTGTGAACTTCCAACATTTTATCACTGAAGTGAACAGCATTTGGAGACCAGTGGTTGCGGCTAAACATGAAAAGGATGCTGCCAACCTGCTTTGCCCTAGTCAGAACCATGTCCACTAGAATTATCCTCTTCTATGGTATTATTAGCATGCAAGTTTCAGTTCTGGAGAAAGATTACGTACCCCAAATGTCTTGTGAATTGAAGCATAGCATGCCCATCATCATATGTCTTCAAATGTCTGTAGTTGCCCAAGAACATAGTACATTCAAACACAACATTAGCCCCCTATCGTTTGAAATAACGGTTAAAGTTGTTGCCTACCATATGACTCTAATTACATGCATAGACAAAACCAAAAACATTTCATCTGTAAATAACCATTATGATCTCGAGTTTCTGCACATTAATCACTTCAGTTCGGAGAGACAAAGGCCGAAAAGGATCTCACAAGGGAGATTATTGACATAACTTTTTGCATGTCTAGTAAACCAAACGCATGCAGCTCATGCTTAATTCGAAATATTCATAAAATACTCCAAAGTGATCATTACCTTAAATGTATTTTCAAATTAAAGATGTGGGATTGGAAGCCAAGAACACCAGGGAGATTGGCCCCTGCAACAAAATATTCGAGTTGGAGTGTTAGTCTTGGTCTTTGGCGTTGCATGCAAATGTCTACGTCTTTCTACCCCTTCATCACTGCATGGAATTAGTCGTTATAAACACAAAACTGGGAATCTTCTTCGTTGGTTGTGATGGATGTTGTGAAATTCGGGTTAATTTCCACCAATAACAGATTCACCGTGAAAACTATTATCTAGGTGACTAGTGTGAAAACGATTGTACTAAAAATCACCCCAAGGTAGATTCCCAGGAAAGAGGAGGGGTCACAATGGTCCCTCTTAAAACCCACTTTCCTTAGACAGAACTACCAAGACAAGTAATTTTAATAGGACAATAATTGACAACAACTATACCCGACAATAGCTATTAAATAGACATAAAAGAGAACACCAAAATATTTCACTAATAGAGGAAATATTACAAAGAGAGAAAGAATACAAATAGCCTTTAAAATAGAAGAAGGCTTATATTTGTGGGATGATTAACTAAGGAGGAGGAGGGCTTTATTTATAACAAAAGAATTTCCCCTCCTCCTTATACACAACCAATGTGGGACTTTTGCCAAAAACCAACAAATCTCCACCTTGGCAAATTCCACACACATCTCTAAAAAACAATCTTTTAATTTGTAACAATATTGACCAAATCTAAACAATGTTTAAACTTGACCGCAGTTACCACTTTTGTCAACATATCAGCAGGATTCTCAGTGGTCCGAATCTTCTGGATTATGACTCCACCTTCTTCTAGAATCTCTCGTACAAAGTGATATCGAACATCAATATGCTTCGTCCTTGCATGGTAAACCTGGTTCTTTGCTAAATGAATAGCACTCTGACTGTCACAGTGCACTTTGATGTGCTTTTGTTCTATTCCCAATTCACCAAGCAACCCTTGAAGCCAAATTGCCTCCTTCACAGCCTCTGTAACTGCCATATACTCTGCCTCTGTAGTAGACAAAGCCACTGTTGACTGTAAGGTGGACTTCCAACTGACTGGTGCCTTTGCAAATGTAAACACATAACCAGTAGTTGATCGACGCTTGTCCAAATCACCTGCATAGTCTGAATCACAATACCCAACTACACACTGACCATCTTGTTTGTCCTGCTGAAAGACCAAACCAACATCTACGGTGTTTAGAATATACCGCAGAATCCATTTCACAGCTTGCCAATGCTCCTTTCCAGGATCATGCATATACCTGCTCACAACCCCAATTGCCTGTGAAATATCGGGTCTCGTACACACCATTGCATACATCAAGCTACCAACAGCACTTGCATACGGAACCTTTGACATGTATTCCCGTTCTGCATCATCCTTAGGTGACATGGATGCACCGAGCTTGAAATGAGGAGCAAGAGGTGTACTAACTGGTTTTGACATCTCATTTATGCCAAAACGTTTTAGTACCTTCCTCAGATATTCTTTCTGAGACAAACAAAGCCTCCCCAATTTCTTATCCCTTGATATCTCCATGCCTAGAATCTTCTTCGCTTCACCAAGATCCTTCATCTCAAACTCCCTGTTCAATTGAGTCTTTAGTTTCGCAATTTCTGTCTGACTCCTGGAAGCTATCAGCATATCATCAACATAAAGAAGAAGATATATATAGGATCCGTCTTCTAGCTCACGTAAATACACACAATGATCATATTTGCTTCTTGTGTACTTCTGCCCTATCATAAACTTGTCAAATCGCTTGTACCACTGCCTTGGAGATTGCTTCAATCCGTACAACGATTTTTCTAATTTGCACACCATCTCTTCTTTTTCAGCAACTTTGAATCCATCTGGCTGAGTCATGTAGATTTCCTCATCCAAGTCTCCATGTAAAAATGCAGTTTTTACATCCATCTGAACTAGTTCCAAATCCAACTGCGCTACCAAAGCCAACAAAATTCTGATGGAGGAATGTTTTACAACTGGAGAAAATACTTCATTATAATCAACTCCCTCCGTTTGAGCGTAGCCTTTAGCCACCAATCTTGCTTTGTAGCGGATGTTATTCTTGTCAGGAAATCCATCTTTCTTTGCATATACCCACTTGCACCCAATTGCCTTCTTTCCCTTCGGAAGACTAGCTAGTTTCCACGTCTGATTCTTTTGAAGGGATTGCATTTCTTCATTCATGGCAATCCTCCACTTTTTATGTTCTGAACTTTGAACTGCTTCATTAAAAGTGGCAGGAACGTCATCAATTGCAATTGGTGATGCAAAAGAGACCATATCAGCATAACGAGCAGGTTGTCTAATGGTCCTCTTTCCCTTTCTGAGTGCAATTGATTCATGTTGCTGTGGAGGTTCTTGGGTCTGAACCTCTTCTTCATCTGACTCTTCTTCTACCATAGGAGAGTCAACATCATTTTCTTTACTGGTTGGGACAAATTTGCTTCCTTCAAACTCCACCTTTTTGGGAGTTCCATCTGTCTGCTCCAATTTTTCTGAAGTCACCTTTCTCAACATGGTAGATTCATCAAAGGTAACATCCCTGCTGAAGATTATTTTCTTTGTTTCTGGACACCAAAGACGATAGCCTTTCACACCAGAGGTGATCCCCATAAAAATCGCCTTCTTTGCTCTTGGATCCAGCTTTGACTCCTTAACATGGTAGTATGCAGTGGAACCAAACACATGTAAGGAATCATAATCTGTAGCAGGTACTCCAAACCATTTCTCTAATGGTGTTTTACCACCAATAGCAGTCGATGGTAAGCGGTTGACAAGGTGACAAGCATAGACCAAAGCCTCAGCCCAAAATTCTTTGCCTAACCCAGCATTAGACAACATACACCGAACCTTCTCCACTAATGTCCGGTTCATACGCTCTGCCACTCCATTCTGTTGTGGTGTACCTCTGACAGTGAAGTGCCTAACAATACCTTCCTCTTCACAGACTTTCAGAAATGGATCATTTTTGTACTCTCCACCATTGTCTGTACGGAGACGTTTGATTTTTCTGCCTGTTTGAGTCTCCATCATCTTTTTCCATTTAAGGAAAAATCCTAGCACCTCATCCTTTGTCTTCATTGGATACACCCAAACTCTCCGGGAAAAATCATCAACAAAGGTGACATAATAGTGTGTTCCTCCCAATGAAGTTGTCTTGGAAGGCCCCCATACATCTGAATGAACATAATCCAAAATACCTTTAGTATCATGGATTGCTGTTCCAAATTTCACCCTCGTCTTCTTCCCTTTGATGCAATGCTCACAAAAAGCTAATTTGCAAGCCCGAGCACCCTTCAATAATCCTTGATCTATCAGTAATTTCAAGGATTTTTCACCAACATGCCCCAAGCGCATATGCCATAACCTGGTTGCTTCTGACTCCTGTTCATCAGTAGAAGCTGCCACTGCTGCTGTCCCAACAATTGTACTACCCAGAAAGTAATACACATTGTTTCTTTTTCGGATTCCCTTCATTATCACCAGTGCACCAGAGATAATCCTCATAATCCCATCTTTTGCCCTCACTTCTAAACCTTTTGACTCTAAGGTTCCCACAGAGATGAGATTTCTCATTAAATCTGGTACATAATGGACACCTGTTAAGGTTCTGATTGATCCATCCTGATTCCTCAAGCGAATTGAACCAATCCCAAGTGTGTCAAGAGGGGAATTATTTGCTGTGTAGACAATTCCACCTTTTAGTTCTTTAAAATCAAAGAACCATTCTCTATTGGGGGTCATATGGTGGCTACAAGCTGAATCTAACAGCCATGAACTGGAACAGCTGGTTGATGGCGTAGCAGCGAATGCGAAATCTGAATCTCCATCATCATACTCGACCACATTTGATTCTGAGACAGCCTTCCCCCTTTCAGGTTTGCCTTTATTCTTTAGCTTGGGACATTCTTTCTTCCAGTGCCCTTTTTCTCGACAAAAAGCACATTCATCTTTGCTCAATCTGGACTTTGACTTCGATCTCCCTCTGCTTCCTTTATTCTGACTCTTGGAACGGCCTCTAACAACAAGAGCTTCTGCTTCGACACTTGTGTTTTCTTGTTTGTCTTTCTTTCTCAATTCATAACTATACAAGGCAGCAGTTACTTCACTGAGAGACACATCAACCTTCCCATGAAGTAGAGTAGTTTCAAGATACTCAAACTCATCAGGAAGTGATCCCATCAACATCAGAGCCAGATCTTCGTCTTCAAAAGTCACGTCCATATTCATCAGATCAGTCACCAGCTGATTAAAGCTAGTAATGTGATCATTCATAGTGGTACCTGGTACATAGTTGAAGCGGAACAGTCTCTTTTTCATGTAGAGTTTGTTCTGACCGCTTTTCTTCAAAAATTTCTCCTCCAGTGCCTTCCACAATTTACTTGCAGAAGTTTCCTTAGAAAATGCATACTTCTGCTCTCTAGAAAGACACGATCGAATAGTACCACATGCCATTCTATTGATCCTCTTCCATTCTTTCTCCTCAACATCATCTGGTTTCTCTCCTTCAATAGCAATGTCTAGACCCTGCTGAAATAGGGCATCTAGAACCTCGCTTTGCCACATGCCGAAATGACCGGTGCCATCAAAAATCTCCACTGCAAATCTAACATTTGTCACAGCATTTCTTGCCAAAATTGAAGATGAAGAAGCGTCTGCCATTTCTGCTACAAATTCTATTTAATAGCTGCCAATGCAGAATGTCAATTATCCCAAGGAAATTTTTCTGATGTGGAAGATCAGCCTAAGCCGCAACCACAGAGCATACTAAAATAAACCAAGAGCTCTGATACCAATTGTTGTGAAATTCGGGTTAATTTCCACCAATAACAGATTCACCGTGAAAACTATTATCTAGGTGACTAGTGTGAAAACGATTGTACTAAAAATCACCCCAAGGTAGATTCCCAGGAAAGAGGAGGGGTCACAATGGTCCCTCTTAAAACCCACTTTCCTTAGACAGAACTACCAAGACAAGTAATTTTAATAGGACAATAATTGACAACAACTATACCCGACAATAGCTATTAAATAGACATAAAAGAGAACACCAAAATATTTCACTAATAGAGGAAATATTACAAAGAGAGAAAGAATACAAATAGCCTTTAAAATAGAAGAAGGCTTATATTTGTGGGATGATTAACTAAGGAGGAGGAGGGCTTTATTTATAACAAAAGAATTTCCCCTCCTCCTTATACACAACCAATGTGGGACTTTTGCCAAAAACCAACAATGGATAGATACATGATAGCACAATGAATGTGAATTTCCTTTGTAAAGATCTTCTGGTTTATGGTAAAATAAACACATAATGAAAACTTACATCTATAAAATAAACATATAAAAATGTTATGAGAAAAATAAAAATAAACATCAGAAACAGAAACAGAAGGAAACTAAAAGAGAATATAGTTTTTTTCTTTAACTTTGGTAGAATCTCTATACATCCACCAATGTCAAATAAAAAATATGTCTTAATTATCCATAAACCTCAAATAAAATATTGGCTAATTAATCGAATGGAAATTTCCACACTGAAACTTTGACGGAGTTCATTGAAAAGATGGAGGATTTTGGCTAATTAATCGACTTTTCAATTTTATTGGTTGGAGTGTTAGTCTTGGTCTTTGGCGTTGCATGCAAATGTCTACGTCTTTCTACCCCTTCATCACTGCATGGAATTAGTCATTATAAACAAATGAACCGAGTTTGAACTGTTTGTTCATTTGTTCTTCATAGCGTCTCACATGCATATATATTTCTTAAAGAAGATACAAACATAGTGGGTTGTGGAGAAATGAAAAAGATTGGGATTTGCGGCAGGCAACATACCAATTCTGGGATAAGCCTTCTCTGAACTTTACTCTTGCAATCCACACTTTCTTTTCCATGAAATAAATTACAAACCAAAGTTTATCGTTCCCAACTCATTTAACACTGATGCATATGCATCGTAGTTTACAGCAATTATCTTTTCAAATTAGAAAAGGTCTAGTTTCTATAGTAAATGCTTACCTGATGATTTTGAAACACTAATTCAGATCGAGTCACCTTGATCTTCTTCTATTCCTTTTCCCATACTTGTTGAACTTGTAAACTCGTTTGTTTCCCAACTCATTCAACACTGATGCATAGCCCAGCAACCAAACCACTAGCATTGCCTGTCAAATCAATTTGCCAAGTAGACATAGCATCTGACCATGAATCTTCTTTGTCTTCCCTCGGAGAAGGTGGCACTGGAAGATCATCTTCATCGCATTTCCTTGACAATGGAAACCCACATAATTTTGGGTTCCAAGATCATAAGAGTCATTTGAAAATGTACTGAATTGGTTGCCTTGTGGAATGCTCCCTTCAAGTGGGACAAAATTGTGGCGATTTCACGTTAATGATGTGTACTAACATGCCAATCCCTATGTTAGGACTTAGAACGGTCCAAAAACAAGGGAAACAAAATAAGCTTTTAGTTGGGGAAAAAAATTTAGAGTAAACTGTATAATTGACCACTTAATTATTTAGTCATTTTATTTTTATCACTGATATTTTAATTTGGTGTAAGACACAACTTAAATATTTAATTTGTTCCATCAGAACACTTACCGTTAAGAATGGATGGAAATGATGAGGTAGAAGTTAAAAGAATAGGCATAATTCTATTAGTCCTTAATATTTATACGTTCTCTCAATTTATTTCAAATTTAAATTTAATAAATTAATCATTCAATCAGAATCTGACACGTGTCAACACAAGACCATGACACATATCATTAATGATACATGTCAACACATGATTAGAGATTTTTTTATATCAATTTTAATTTATTTAGTTAAATAATTGTTCTATCCAATTAGGCGGTGACACGCCACCCGAATGGATAAAAAATAAGGGATCAAGAAATTGATCTTGCCCAAAATCGAACCTTGGCTACTACAGTGAAGGAAGCATGCCAAAACAAATCGGGTTGTCTTCACATTTTGTGTTACACAATAAAATATATATATCTTGATACTAAAGTTAATGCCACCTAGAATTGAGTAATTTTAATTTAATTAATAATCTAATTTTTTATTAAATATAAAATGAATAAAAATATAAATAATTTAATTTATATTTAAATGTACAAATCATTAATATTTATTAAATATTTTATTTTTCTTGTATTAATATATTTTTTAAACATAAACGATTTAGTTTATATTTTAAATATTAATTTATACAAGAAAAATAAAATATTCAATAAATATTAATGATTTGTACACTTAAATATAAATTCAATCGTTTATATTTAATAAACAATTAAATTATTAATTAAATTAAAAATACTCAATTTTAGGTGGCTTAACTTTAGTATCAATATATATATATATTATTGTGTCGTTATTAGCACAAAACGTGAAGACAGCCCATTGATATTGGCATGCTTCCTTCATTGTAGTAGTCTAGGTTCGATTCTGGGTAAGAGCGATTTCATGCTGTCCTATTTTCTATGGATCAAATTGAGAGAATGTATAAATATTAAGGATTTAATGTTAAATTATGTCTATATTCTTTTAACTGTCATATCAGTATTTTTATGCATTCTTAACGTCAAGTGGTATAATTAGTTAGTTAAATGGTATCCTACATCAAATTGAATTGATGAAAAAAGTAAAATGACTAAATAGTTAAGTGTTCAACCGTAGATTATTCCACCGATACGCCAGCAGGCATGACACCTGCTACGTACCTATGATACAGCCACTGCAAATCTGCTGCAGGAGCCATGATCTGGTGCAAAAACACACGGGAGGCTCCAAGCCAATTTAGCCATTCCTTCTGCAACTTGATTCTTCTCACGGACGACATGCACCACGTTGAACGTTTACTCGCCAATCTCGCCGTAACAAAT